GTTTTCTAACAATGACTCAAAGTAAGTCAATTAAAAAAATTATTACGATAATTCAATTTATTAACAATTAGAAATGATTTCTAGAAAACGTAAATTTTGGAATTAGTCTAAAACAGATAAAATTTCTAAATTCTCTTCGTAAACATAAATGCCGCGAGCATTACAAAAGAAATAAGATAAGAAATGATAAAGGAATTGATTAATCATTTCACAGCTCTAGATTGTTATGTACATTAGTGTGTTGTAGGGACATATAATCGAAAGATGCATGAAAATTTTCCGGGTGTAAAAAAGTGTTTTCTGTCTATTATATGTATATACATATATATATATATTGTATATCATCTGAGATACTCTTCACATATGTACACACATTTCTTATCCTAGGGTATTGAGAAAGAGGCGAAAAGAGTGGGTAGAAAGAAGCAACGTCTGGTAAAGCGCACGCGGCCACAAGCCGTGGCAACACCAGTGATTGGTCGTGAAACCTCTGACGTAAGTTGTATTATCGACCAATAGAAGCTCAGTCTCATTCGCTTACGTTGCCTCGAGCGTGTTTCGTTGAACGAAAGCGCGGAGAAGAGCAGCAAGTCGTGGCGACTGGTACACGACGGCCGGTTGCGGGCTCTCTTCTTATTTGAGCCACACGACACGCGTTGTTTCCGTTTGTTATTTCTTTTTTAAACTTTCGACTTTAAACCCGAAGGGGAAAAACACTACGGGCAACTTAAGGAAACCCTCTTTCGACAACGCCACTACATATATATACACACACACTCACATACACATTGACACACTAGTGAAGCTCAAGTGAAGCAGTACACGCGTGTCTTACATCGTTCAACAACTGTGCTTTCTTTAACAGCACATGTGAAGCTAAAACTTCGCATTTTTTAACAAATAAACGGATTTTTAAATAACTGTTTACTCTTGAAAATAATACACATGTGATTGTAGTATTATTAATTAATGTTATTGATGATCTTATAATTATTGTCATATAATATTTGTCAGTGTTTATAGACAATGAAGACACTCGAATGTTTGTACATTAAAAAGTGATCAGTGATAAATTTTTGAATAGATTATTGTGATTGCTAGTCAACAGTATATACTCACTGTAATAATATATTTTTACTTGTAATTGGTGTGTTTTGAGCAATCGAAGAAAAAATTCATTAGATATCGTGTTTTGGTTTTTGATAATAGTTAATTAATGAAACTATTATAATCTCGAAAAATAAAAAGAGACAAATTTTTTCGCGGTAAATTTGAATAAAAATAATTCAATGATGTAATAATGTTTACAAATTATTTGAGAAGAGGAAATCATATATCTTGGACTGCTTGTATAACTAATGATTCAATGATTAAGACTTTGTGAAAATTCTTATCAAGTGCCTGACTATTTTTTAATATTCTCTAATTTATTTTGTTTATTTTCTTCGATAATTGTTATTTACTTGACAATTACTGGTTAAAGGATAAAATATCAGTCTTATTGGTGAGTCAAAAGATAAATATCATCTTAATTTATTTATTTATATAATTATTAATCGATTAAATTCAATTAAGAATTAAAATTGAAGAATAGAAAAAAGTTGAAAGTTTCCAAACGATTGATGACAATTTGAGAAAAGTTTAAAATCATGAAAAAATATATGTAATGTCATAATTGGATAAAAAAAGTTTGTATATATTTATATACAAATTACAGTTGAAGAACATTATATAAATATTTACTTCTGATTGATTGTCATGCTTATTTTATAAATTGATTTTGAAGTTGGCGTAAGTGAGTTGGATTATTGTTAAATAAATACATCTTCTGATAAGGGTAATAATGAAAGACAATAGTATAAGAGTTTTTGCAGTGGTCGCTGACCCACCTACCATGTTTGCTCTTGTATAATAGACCGAATTCGATCGCAACTGTCATAGAGTTTTCCCCACACGATATATAACATTTCCGCGCGTCAATCCATTCAACTCACCACCACTTGCATTAGAAGGAAAAGAAAAGACCGAAGAAGAAAATAAAATATATAATGTTGAGCAGAAAAAAAAAAAGATTTAATTGTTATAAAATACTTGATTGCTATGAAGCAGAAGAATTTAACAAAGTAATGGCGGTCATTATCACTTCATTAATTTCCTATTATTCCGCTTATCAAGTGGACGATAATGGAGAGAAATTAGAGAAAGAGAGTTGGGGGAAGCCCCAAAGTTGTAGACATGATATCCCCCGAGTTCTCACGACCTTCGAAACAATTCGGCGGTTTTAGGCCGGCGGCACGCTCTCTTGCAGATCGATGTTTGTTATCCGGATGCTCGTGTTCGCGCCGGCACATAGCCCGTGTAAAGGGAATGGAGGGTGTTAGAAAGGTAGAGCTTTAGCAAAGAAGAAATCAGATATTTAGGTCGTTCTACTTCAACTCGATCGAACAGAAGTAACGTAAAATACTACAATTTTAGCGTTTGTTATTTACTTCACTGATTTTTTTTTTTCAATCTTTACTCAAAAAATTTTTTTTGTTTCTATTATTTTTATTTTTATTGATAAAAGTGTTTTTTCAACATCAAGGTCCAATTAAAAGTTGATTATTCTAGGGATTGAATCAAAAAATTTGAAATGTTTGCATCCATTTTTTAGTGAAATAAAATATAGTTAAAATGTATTGTTTATAAAATAGATAAAGAATTTTTTTTACAACTTTTAAATGAGCAAAAATTCATTTAAAAAAAAGTCAACATTTTTCTAGAGATTGCATTCAATAAAAAAAGATTTTTTTTTTTCTTTAAAAAATACTGATTTTCTGGTAGCTATAAATTTAGTATGACAAAGTTTACGTTTTTCCAACGATTAGTTAGAAATAAAAGTTTCTTTTTTGTTACGTATTTAGTCTTTTTCTGTAGTAACTTTATCTAATTTTTTGTCAGTCTTTACACAGTCTGTAGTGTAAAGTCTTAAATTAAAAGATATAAAAGTTGCATGGGAAATGATGGGAACAATGACAATAGTGAGTTTATGTATGTTTTTATGATTTTAAGATGAAAGAAAATAACTTTAATTGTTTGATACACATATATGAAATAATATACTCATGCACCTGTCCTTCACCCTCTATTTCGTTCCTTCGGGGTGAATGATCAGTCGTCTACCATTCAAACGTTTAAGCCTGAAATGGACATGCGAACATTGGTCAGGTGGATCGATTACTTCGGCTCTATATACACATCAAATATCATCTACACTCGTATAATAATACACCGTATAGAAATACTAAAAAAATTCTAGATACATATGGAAAAATAAAGTAAAACCATGAACGACAAATTAAAAGTACAATTGAAGCTATACTTCATATATAGATATATATATATATATATATATATATACATTTGCTCTAAAAAATTGTTATTCCATTTATCTTTCTCGTTCAATTCCAATTGTATTTAATCATTTTTCCACCGTATTCAGAAATAATAAAATTACAAAAAAAAAAAACTAACAAAAGCACTGGAAAAAATTGAATAATCAATTTTTCAACTAATAAATAAATTATTATTATTACAATTTTTATTTTACTGTAGATAATGATTAAATTGATAATCATTAATTGTAGGATAGTAGGTTACGAAAATATACGATTGAATGACTCCAAAAAAATATATAAACTGAATAAATTATAAAAAAAAATCATTGATGAAACAAAAAAAAAGGTTTGTGTGGAGAATAGAAGCAGAAGCTACACAACGTGACGGAGAAACGTCGATAAGACGCGCACACGTCCAGAGTGAGAGAGAAATAGATATATGTAGAGTGAGGAAGAGAGTATTCAGCCACCCATGTCTGAATTAAAAGTCGATATGCTCAGTTTTTTTGTTCCCGTTACTGTCATTTTTTTTCTTCTTTTCACTTTGATTTATTATTATTATTATTATTTATTATTTATTATTATTTTTTTTATATTGTGTTGTCAAGTATGTACAAGAGATATCGATGTCTCTTGGCAGAGAGCTTAGTCACAGTCACTAGTAGATTGTCTGTTTCATTTACTTCTTTTTCCATCGTCTTTTCATCAGCTTCTTAAGACTGTAAGATGTTTGACAATATATTTCTCAACAGATTATCCACTAGTATTATTACTGCAAGCAATTCTGATTATAATCATGATAAAAAATTTTTTTTTTGACTTGAATGTTATTTTTCGAACCTTGGAGCATTGTTTTAAATCATGATAGCGAGAGTAATAGCCTTTTAATTATGTTAGAAATAATATTTATCATTTATTGTATATTTATCACATATGAGTTTCAATCAATGCTGTAATATGATAAAAAGTACTAATCGTGTATCAAATAAATGAAGAGAATGATTGACAGAGAAAAAAAAAGTATATATGATATTGTGAAAAAGAGGGAAAGAAATAAAAAAATGGAGATGTCAAGAAGGAGGAGAAGGATTATCATAGCTATAGAGTGAGAGTAACACGTTGGCGTGGTATTTAATATCACGCTAACTAACACATGTCACGAAGAATACAGATAATTCATTCTCCGCACTATGCGTGCTTGGAATTTTACAAGTGGCGATTCCTTTGACCATACGGGAACGTGCGACACTCGTGCAAATTTACTTTCATTCATTAATATTTTTTTTTACTCGTTTTTTTACGCCTCTCTACAACACCAATATCTTCTTTTCATCTCCAACATACTTCTATCAATTTTCGACTTACAACAGTAATTAATTATGCTTTTTTTTCGGTGTTTTGTTATTTGTCATGATTTATTGAGTCAACTAAAATTTAATTATTTTTATTCAATAGGAATTTATGAGAAGTATTAAAAAATAATTAGGGATATGTTTCAATTTTATTGATATCTATTGACCACAAAATCCACTTTTAACGAATTTATCTTTTTTTTCTTGTTTTGAAGTTTTTGATGTTATTCGTAAAAAAAAAAATTAATAAAATTCATTTCTTTTGTTACAGTGTTTTCAACATTCCATCCGAAAAATTGATTGTGCGACCACTTAACTGTAAAAAATTGCAACAATGGGTAGAAAGAAGATACAAATTTCTCGCATCACAGACGAGCGGAATCGTCAGGTATTTAATAATTAGTTTATTTTATTAATCAAATGATAAGCTGAAAAAAATTAAACATAATACATTAAATTAAAATTTCATTATTTATAAAATATTTGATAGAACTGTCTTTTAAAAAAATAATTTTCTACATTTTGTTGTAATTAAATATGATTAATAATGACTTTAATATCGGTTTTGTATTGCAGGTGACATTTAACAAGCGAAAATTTGGTGTGATGAAGAAAGCTTATGAGCTTTCGGTGCTATGTGACTGTGAAATTGCCTTGATAATTTTCAGTTCAAGCAACAAGCTTTACCAATATGCTAGTACTGATATGGACAAGGTACTCCTTAAGTACACTGAGTACAACGAACCTCACGAGTCTCTTACTAACAAGAATATCATCGAGGTGAGTCGATTTATCTATCATTATTTTCTCTGTCATCTTATAGAGCAGCATTTCGTCATTTACCTTTCGTAAGAAAAATTTTTAAACTTGAAAATAATGAAACGATAATTAAGTAGCGTCCACTTCTTATATGAAACGCGATAATTAATTAGGATACGTCAATGACTATGTTATTACTTAATTAGTCAGTAACATTTATTAAGTATAAAGATTGAGTGCCCTCGGGCAGTGTGGTCATGTGAACCTGTCTGCTAACACTTGCAGGCCCTCAACAAGAAGGAGCATAAAGGTGCAATGTCTCCGGAGAGTCCTGAACCTGATGCAAGTGAATACAATCTTACTCCCAGGACCGAGGCGAAATACAACAAGATTGATGAGGAGTTTCAGATGATGATGCAGAGAAACCCGCATAATGGAACAAGGGTGAGTTGATAAATTTAATTCTTTCCATTCAATAATATACGTTATCTTTATCATATTTGTATCTATATTATATATAATTGTTTAACGATGTTGGTGAAGGCCAATAGCTTAATTAGAAAAACAAGATGATTAGTGAGGGTGATTTCTGATTTACGAAATTGACTTTGAATCGACTTATTTCATAAAACATATTTCCGTGGTCAATGTCCATATAATTCTTATCTAATAAAATTAATAATTAACCAATTAAAAAAGAAAGCTTGAGGAAATATGATAGATTGGCCAATAATTTTTGTTTCTATCTTCAATGACTTTTTTTTTATTACAAAAATATTATAAATTTTATTTTTCATACTATTTTAATTAATAATATTATTTTAAATTTATTTTACAGCAAACAATTGGACAATCAAATTATACATTGCCTGTGACAGTGCCAGTCAATACGTATGGAGAATCTCTCCTGGGATCTAGTCCACAGATGGCTCATACCAGCATTTCCCCTCGACCGTCGTCGTCTGAGACTGATTCAGGTAAAAAATTTGCTCATTTTTGAAGCAATTTTTATTCTATAAATTAACTAGAAATCCCTCTGAAAATAATATAAAGCTTTAGGAATTTTTTAAAATGTTTTTTTTTATCATGAATTTAATTAATTTTTTGTTTTATAGTCTATCCTCCTGGTGGAATGTTGGAAATGAGTAACGGTTATCCACCGTCAGCCTCACCTCTTGGAGGATCACCAAGTCCAGGACCATCGCCAGCACTTGGCGTTGGCGGTGCAAATAAGGGTGCCAATCCGTCCCGTCATTCGCCGCAACCTCCACCACCTCCTCACCCCCACAGAGCTAATTTACGAGTTGTTATACCTACGCCATTAACGCAATCGCTCTCTGAAGATACTAATTACGATGTAAGTTATATGAAATTGATAAGACAACTTTACAAAAAAATTTAATACTAGAATAAACAGGTTCATAAATTCTTCATTATAAAAGCATATATTTAACAGATTTTTTTATAGAATATTGATGAAGATTAAATTGTATAAGTATTTAAATTAAGAAAAAGATGAGATTAAAATAGAGGAAAGATTGCATAAATAATAATAATGATTAAGTGAAAAATGATCTCATTGTATTATTGCAGGGAGGACACACACAGACTGCATTAAATACACCGGTTGTAGCACTACAAACTCCATCAGTACCAGCTGGATACTCAAGTTATACATCATCGGACTTCTCTTCGGATCTTGGTAGTCTCACGTGGTCTCATCAGAGGTACGTTGATGACTTATCAATGTACTCAGCAGCCACCATGTCCAGCATCAGGTAAATGGTCATTAATTTATTTCACTTAAAGAACTTCATTACGTCCAGTTAAAATATTGAATATTTTTTAAAATTACATTGATTTTTATTTATAGTCCAATACAGAGTGACGTAAATGAAACTTTTAATTGAATGAAACTATAATAAATTCACAATATTATAGATTTTCGTGTAAAAAGTCACATCATGCTTTGCATAAATATCAAAATTACGTCATCGAAAAAAATGTATCCTCTTTAGCAATCGATAATTCACTTAAAACCTCGTGAAACCACAACTGGGCGTAGTTTTGTTCTACACCTTTTTCAATAATTCATTGACTGTTCATAGATCATAATCATTATTAAACTCAACATCAGAAAAAAAAATTTCAACATTTATTTTTGTTTATTATTACAGCAGCCTTCCTCATTTAGCAGTATCCAGTAGCACACCACCACCATCAACGTCGCCCTTACCAGTAAAAATAAAAAGTGAACCAATAAGTCCCCCAAGAGACCCTCACAACAGCAATAGTGGTCCAGGTGGAGGAGGCAATATCAGTGGGCCAGGTTCGAGTAATTTACATCATACAAGTCTTAATGTTGGTCCACCACCAAATAGTGCAGCTGGACCACCACCACATCATATAACTCATGGAGGACCACAGACTTTGAATCTCGTTTCAAGTCGGCCAACAAGTAATCCACCTCCTTCACATTCTGGAAGTATAACGCCAACGAATTTACCATCACCGGGAGGTGTCGGAGATATGAGAACAAGTCATGTAGGAGCAGGTGGTAACGGTGGAGGAAGCAATTCTGATTACGAAAATGGACCTTTAATGAAACGTTCAAGGATTACGGAGGGATGGGCTACCTAATGTCGGGTGAATCTACGACCCTACTGGTCTTATCCTGCTTCATCGTACAATGGCCAATAAGAGGAAATAGAATTATACACAAGTGCTCGCTGGTGCCAGTTGGTTTGCCTGCAAACAACATTTTTTTCAGCCTCGGTCATCATTGCTTGCTGTCTTACTTGATAGCACTTGAAGAATAATACTAAAAACAAGGATTAAGCAAAAAAAAATGACTCGTGACTTTATGTACTTTTTATGAGCTTTTTTGGGGTCAACTGCAATATCCCAATGTGTGGATTAATCTGTTAAATATTTCTGAGAAATGTAAACACAGAGGAGCTGTAAGAGAGAATTAAGTTTTGGAGAATAATGAATTGATAATTGCGGTGCCATAATAATGTTGAAACTTTACATATATATATACATATATATATTATTAAAAAAAATATATATATAAAATATACATATATATATTTTCATGTGTATAATAAAATAAGAAGTGTTGTTTGTATATATGTCGAGAGAGAAATGATTTGTTGGTATGGCACTTAGACTCACAGGTGTATCCTGAATAAAATTGACGCTCGATACATCTCACTCACGCAACAAATTACTTTTAGCATTAAAGAAATAAATTATAAAATTAATAATATTAGTAAGGAGAAAAAAAAACTCACGAATTAACAAATAAAAAGTGCATTGGAGATGTGTTATAGACGTCATTGACGTAGGAAAATAGAAAAATAAATTCTGAGAAATTAGCCACACCAAGAGATTGATAAAAAATCTACATAATGTGTGAGATTGATGCAAGATCAGAATTTTAATGTTAGTTGTTTGTTACATTTGCATGGTATGGTAGTCTATCAGCAGCATAATCCGTTGATAATAACTTTACCTCATAATTATTGTGTGTGAAAGTTGTATTATCTCATCTATTTTTTAATAATATTTCGCAAATAATTTTTTTATTAGTAATTAATAAATTAATCATTATTTGGGCCCACGAGTAATTGATCTAGTCAATTGAATTATCAGTACTAAAATAAACCAAAATTTGGTATTGGATGCAACCCCAAAATTGCGAGAAAAAAAAATAGAATTTTTTATATAATCGACAAAAAAAATTTTCAATTTTAAAATTAATATTTGTTTATTATTTTAGTTTTGTTTTTTGCCATATAATTATATTACCAATCTGGTACTTATAATCAGATTATAATTGATTGAATAAAATCAAACCAACATCGATCTCAATAACGAAGGAAGAAAAATGCATAAAAACTTTCTGTTTTTTAGTCAAACAGATTTCACTATTAATAAAAAAGTCAATTTTTAATATTAAAAAAAAAATAATAATTCTAATAATGATGTATTGGAACCTAAATTTTGTTTAAAATTTTTAACAAAATGACCATTATATTTTTAAAACTGAGAAAGTTTAATTGACGGTCTATGTCTGCTGGCAAATGGTAAGAAGTCGGCTGCTGTACTAAAAAAAAATATATATGATATTCTGTGAGAATGAGATTCGAAATTAATATATTAAAGTATGAAAAAAATTTAATGATAGTTGAGTAGATAAAAAAACATTTATGTAGTGTTAATTAGTTGATCGGTGATGCTAAAAATGGTTACAAATTCATGAAAACAATTAATTAGAAGTAAATAAAAAATCTACACTCTCACAAGCGCATATATAAAGTAAAATACATATATAATATATGTATGTATGTACAAATATATTCATTTTCCACGAGTATTTTGCACATTTGATATGAAGAAATGAAATGAAACGAAATGTTAGAAACATGCAGCCCTTTTAGCCTAAATGATTAAAGAAATTAATTGTAAAAAAAAATAATACAAAAAAGCGCGATGCATTGGCATATGTTTTAGCTTCAGAATAATTAAACTAAGTGTAGACAGTTTTAATAACTTGTTTCGTGAATTAGTGAGTCAATTGGTGCGTTCATATTCAAACATATTATACTCGTGATAAACTGCCGACAAAAAACCACATTTAAGATGAAATGAAGTATCCATATGAGCTATGCCCGCGCTTGTATTGTTGTTTAAACTATCACGTATAACGTATCCAGACGAGAGTTGCTCCTAAAAAATATATTTGATTATTATATGTAATTACATTAATTGTATTTTAAAGGACTACACAGGTATTGAAATTAATAGTGCCTGGCACCATTTGTGGCCCTCCTCTCATAATATTTTAAATAAAATTTAAGAAAATAATATTAGAATTATTATAAATAAAACTACATTATTGTATCATTTATGTAGGATACTAATGTTATTTTCTTGAAATCTTTAATTAACATAAATAGTGTTTCGAATCAGTGTATATGATCGATAGATAGTGGTTATACATATGAGTTGAAAACAATATTAATGATAAAAAAAAATCCACTTTTAATGACTAATCGAGTCGGATTATAATATCATGACTTTTTATGATGATGATCACAAAGTGCAATCTTTTAGGCAACACTTTTTTATCGATCTAAAAGGTATAAAGAAATTGTTATTTTTCATATAAGGAAGAAATGAAGTTTGATATATTAAAAAGAATATATGTCTTCTCTAGTTATTTAAAACTTTTCCTATTAATAATAAAAAAAAAAGATGAAAAAATAAAATAAAAAACACGTGATTGAAGTTTTACTAAATTCAATTAATATTTTTCCAATGTAATTGAGAGTGCTTGTACATGTTTTTTAGTACATCTTTAATTCTCATTATACAAATAAGAGATAAAATAAATAAAATGATGAGAATAATCGGTGAGCCTTTAAAATTATTTTTTTTTATTTACTTAAAAAAAATCATGAGATTACGTATTTAAATATTGTACCTGCATAAAACTCTAATGAATAGAGTTATATTCGATAAATTTTGCATTGTATACTAATTAAAAAGAAAAAAAAAAAATTGAAACCTGCCTAATTGGTGGATTGTTTTTAATACAAAAAAAAATTATATATAAAAAAATTAATTAAAACCCTTCAGGCTCACGATTATTTTCTAAATATCTTTGAACAAACTTTTAGGTAACTATTATATTAAAATAAAAATTTTCCGAATGCTGTGAATAATATGGACCATCTTTAACAGCTTTATACAATTATATAATGATCGAGAAGAAATAAAAATAATAATGACAAAAAAAAACATAGAAAAAAACAATTATTAACTATAGTTCGCATGAATAATAAATGATAATAATAATAAACAAAGTAAAATTATTGATTACAGTACATTCACATTTTACTATCATTGTAATAATTAAATAACATTACGGTGAAAATTATTTGCAGGCTCTATAATTACAAAGAAAATTAATATCAATTAGGAAACAGGAATGACAGTAAAGTTATTGAATTATTAATTGCACAGCACGATTAAATGATTAAACGTTTGTTGTAAACAGAATTTAGTGAAATAAGATTAAAACCAAGATCATACAAATGATGTATGTATGTACTAGCCACAACTGTTGTCACCGCAGATAAACCGATAAGTCATTAAGTTTATAATAAAATACTGGTTAACAAACTGGACATATCTATGACGCCAAGTATTATCACATCACACATATATTACAACTAAAAATGTGAACAGATGAATGAAAAATTTACCAAGTACCATCACTCAAATAATAAATAATTGATAATAATTAATTATTAATTATTTATACTAACTATTATTCATTGTTATGGTGCATTTAAACAAACAACAAATAATATTAACATGAGGGTCCCATTAATTATTAATTATTATAAAATTAAAAAATAATGTGGAGGTAATATTTAATTCGATATCTATATAAAAATTTCTATCTTAAAGTAAAAAGAATAAATTTATTAAACGTGAAATGTATAAAAAATTAATATTAATGTGTTGTAATATTAAAATTGTTTATTTGTATAAATAGAAATTATCAATTATCGTTAAAAGTTATGAATTTATTATAAAGGGAAGCGTGTAAACATTTGTTTTGTTTCTAAAGTGGGAGAAAAAATGATTTTTTATGTATGAAAAATTTTTTTATTGGTTAAAAAATTATTCTATTGAATAATTTATTGAACAGTAGATTTAATTGTAAGAGAAATTATTATAAAATTAATATTCTATATTGTGTATCCAGAAGAAAAAGAATGATTTTTTCTCTCAATGTATTTTTGTTAAATTACTATTTCTTCTATCAATTACAAAGTATAAAAGTACAAGATCGTACTAATTAATCGATTAAACTTTTTTAAAAAATTTAATATCAATTATGTAAAATATGAACATAAAACGGAAAATATACACATCATATATTAGAGAGACAAATGTTTGTGAGAAAGAATAAATAGAATATGTTGCTTTAGCCGTGAAATAATAATAATAAAATCGATGGATTACAGAAAAAATAATATAGAAAGTAATCGACATAGTGCCATTATTAAAAAAAAAAAAATTAATTAATTAACGGAATATCACTTATGTTTTAAGTAGCTTTAGCAAAGAATGAAGATACTGGGACGTTTACCTGTGGTGTTGAAGACAAAGACTTGGTTTACGTTTGTAATAATAAAGTAAAAATACAAATAATTGTTATAATGTTTGCCAACATTACATTAAAAGAAAAAGAAATTAATGAAATAATGATGAAAATTATAATGATAATGATATCATGATAATAATATTAATTAATTAATTAATAGTAATATAAGTGTAACACGAAAAAAAAAGTTTGACGAGTTTCTGCGATACTAGTTTGTCAATGAAAGATGTCATCCAATTAATGCACATCCAATGCCACGCAACACAATCGAACATATATAAATATATAGTTTTTAATCGACTTTTCGGAGATAATGCGTTTTTAATACTTAGTAAAGAAAGAAAAAAAAGATTAATTAATTTTAAAGAAATCTTAACTAATTAAGGAAAGATGATGAAGAAAATATGTGACTTCTCGACTTACGTATTCATTTTGGTGCTGAAATCCCCGGTTTTTAACATTACGTTTTGCTATTACTGATCTAATTAGCGTATAATGATTAAATGATCATATATATTTGCCTATTAATGGTCAGTAAAAAAAAGTAAAGAAGAAAATAATTAATGAGACTTAGTAATTAATTATATTAATTATTAATTATTGTTATATCATATTGCTCTATGTACATCACAAAAAAACATACATTTACGTAATTATCCCTTTCGTAAGGATGAGAAAAAAAAACAAATACAAACTAATTAATTAATTACCTTGTAAACACAATCCATACTGTGGATATTCTTCAATGTACCAGCATAATATTACTATGATGTTGCCCATAGAATACATTTTACTTGGTTTTTTTGTATTTTTGCAGTACTTTATTCATTGTACAACCAAAAAAAACCTTTATCATAAATCAACTAATAATTAATTAATGAACTACAAATATTAAGATAATTATTTTGTGTTATAAAAATGGATATTAATAACAAATTAACGTACTTATTATATTTTTTATTAACTCAAATGCGTGTTCAAGATGTATCTTCGTCTCATTTTCATGTGATATTTCTTTAAAAAAAAAACGAAAAGAAGTCTTTTACTTACTTTTTAGCTGCATGATCTTATCTATCTTCCTTTTTTCAAATTATATAATTTATCTTTGATAAACAAACCAGTGAAAATAATGAAATTGAATAATGGAAAATACATATATAAAAAACCCATTCCCTTGGTAGAAATGCCTTAACGTCACGTGCCTCAATTAATATTTAAATTGTTTACGTACACACATTACACACATCTGCTTATCTGTATAATTCTATTTAGTGTGTAACATATAAAAAATAATGAACAAACGATAATCTGTGTAAAATTGAACTTATTCTTTGTACTACTCTTGTAAATACATTCTGAAGAATTAACTGGCAACTTTGTACTTTTGTTTTCACTTTTGTTGCACCAGTTATCTCTTCTTCCTATTATTCTTTCATCATTTCCTTTTCTTCATTTCTGATTCAACCAATCTCATTTTATTCTACTCATAAATGCTTAAAATAAAAAAAAATAAAAAAATAATGTAAAAGGAATAACTACAAAAAATAAGTAATTTAAATATTTTTTTTTATTATGAGAACACTTTAAAGTTAAAATATAATGTCGTACATTCAGACTTTCTTAAAAAATAAATGTCGCTACCATTATCAAATTATTTTTACACATTTTTATTGTAATAAAATAAAACATATATGACAATTTTGTTGAATATTTTAAATCAAACATAACTACACTATTTATTTTAATTTTTAATATTTATGTAAATAAATCAAATATTCATATAGTTGGAGAAATTTTATTGGGAATGGATAGTTATAGTTTACTTACACTTCATATAAATATAAATTTTTTTTTTTTGGATGGCGTTTAAGCCGCAAAAGTTTATAATTTTGATTTTATAGTGTCACGTTCGTACTCTCCTTTTGATTAGATTATATTCATACTGTAGTTTACTTTGTTAATAATCAACATGTTTATTAACCAAATACAAACACTGTTTTTATTTGAAACAGGTTTATTTATTCTTTTATGATATCAATTTTATCAGACAATAGTAAATATAAGGCTTTTCAAGATGAAATTGATACTTTTCTCAATTTGTTCTTAAATAATATTTGTTAATAGCATACTCTGCTTTGAAATATTATTATATAAATTAACTAATTGTCAAAATAATATTGAAAACATTATTTTATTATGCAAATTACAACCTTCGACGCACAATTAGATGAACTTAAAATAATATTTGTGATTAATTCCCAAAAATATATAGTTTTAAATATACTTTGAGTGTTCTTCATTCAAAAAGAACCATATTCATTTTGCATTAAATGTTAATGATTAATTATAGGTATTAATTAATATACATAAATATTGTAATTGTTATTTAAATAAAGATCTTTTGACGATGTTACAAGGAAATTATGCCTAATAAATAATAATTGTAATTGTTCAGAATCAACACGCTCAATTTGGCTATCGCAATTCTTCAATTTTTAATTCTACATAATTTTTTCATTAATTGATCTTTGTGTTTTTTTATAATTTAAAAAAAAATTACATATTAGAGATTTCAGTTCTAATCATTTCTCATCGTCGTATAGAGTTAAATGAATGGAACAGTTGTATATTACTTTACTGATAACTCTTAGATTAGATAACTTTTGCAGCATAAAACGCATAATAATTCTAAGCTTAATTAAAACTCTTTTGTTAATAAATCTTGAATTCAACAGATCTCAGGCTCACATAAGGCGACAGCGTTCATGACCAAGAGGGTCTCCCTGTAACAAAAATTCAATTATTATATTTTAAATAGAAATTATAAGAATAAATGTAGAAGTGATGAAGTAATAAAATTATGTTAAATTCATTTACATGAAACCAATTCATGCAAGCCTAATTAATGCCTTTCCACTTTATTTAATTTATGATGAACTTCTTTATGGCTCCTCTTTATTAGTCACAGTGATGCAAGCAGTTGATAGCGAAAGGAATTTTTTCCCAGATTTTAAATAAGATTTTACTTCATTTTGATTTATGTTTTTGTGTATCTTACGTTTTTTTCACAAATTATACGCTTGATTATTGTTTATTAAAATTTTAATGTCTAAAGTATAAAATCTAGGATTTCTTGATGTTAAACATGAATAAAGTAAAGTTAAATTTGAAAAAAAAATTTGATTCATGAGATGAATTTTGTTTAGTAGTGAAGCATGATATATAGCAAAGTGTATTTGAATATATGAGTATACTAATAAGCTAAAAAATAGTTTTATTTAAGAGTAATTATATGCTTATGGGACATTGCAATTGTTTCATTTCTATATTAATTAAATTAATAGTAAAATGCATGATTCAGCACTGATGAACATCTAAAATGTTTAACAAGAACTTACATAAGCTGCCCATCATGTTGTACCTCTCCTCATTATAGGAAGAAAAATCTTTTCTATGAAAAAGAAGTCAACTTTGTAAAACCCCCCCTTTACAAAATATCTCAAAATACTTTCCTTCGCATTTGTTTTGTAATTGTTTTTTATTAATAAAATTTATTACAGTACTTGCGCTTTAACTGCTTGTATCTATACTAGATCTGACAATGTTTAACTAACAATTAAAGGGAATATTTCTCAAAGGTAAACGAATCAATAAATGCTTTTATAAATAGAAAAATTTTAACTATTGGTTGTTAGTCAAACAAGCATGATCTAATATGCAAATAACTGAATAAAATTCATGAGTCAAAAGATTAATCGAGTTATTCAATTTACCTGCTGGTGGTGGATATCCTCTGATGCTCTAAACCCCATACTTTCTCGATGTCGAGAAATAGTAGTCGATAATTGCTGTCTTTTACGTTCAGACGTGGCCATTTCCTAAATAATTAAATAAAAAATTGATTTAAGTAAATAATTGTTTCAATTACATAACAAAAAGATTATCTGTAATCACATACTTCTCCTTCATTATTAAGAAGACTAGTAGTCATATTATCTGCAGTAAACCACTTTTGTCCTTTCATTACAAGATTTGAAGGTGGCTCGTGCGTAGCTCCAATGTCTGAAGACCAAACAGTAACGTTTGAACCGGGCTCAAGTTTCGCAGTCCGATGAAATTTAAAAACAGTCTCAAGGGTGCCTGCTTTCCGAATAATTTGCCATCCACTGAGTGCTATTTCCTGTGAAATAAATAGACAAATTGTAAAAACTAAAAATTGATGCAACACAAAATAAATTACAAACTAATTTAGCTCTTACTTTATTTCCTTTGTTAGTAAGTTTAACATATCTTCCTTGAGGGTCAGTTTCACTAATTTCAACGTCGCTTTTTGTTGAAGCTACAACACTGTAATCACTGCTACTACGTTCTTCACTTTCTTCCATCAAAGTTCTCTTACGTTTTCCACCTCTAATTGGAGTATGTCTTGATGGAGTACTTCTTCCTGTAGACGTTGATCCCATTGAAGCATGTGAGGGAGTGATATTGAGCCTAGCCTCTTCAGATTCCAAGAGTTTTCGGTAAGCTGCTATCTCCAAATCCAAAGCAACTTTAATGTCCATAAGGTCTTGGTATTCTTGCAATTGTTGAGTCATTTCATTACGCATTCGAGTAAGCTCTGCCTCAAGAGCAACCAGATTTTCTGTATGTTTAGATCGTTCATCTTCAATAATATTCTCCAAATCTCTAATACGTTGATTGTTAGCAGTATTAGCTGCTTCCAAATCTGATATTCGTTTATTCAAAGTATCAATTCGAAGTTTCGATTCACGTAATTCATTCATAGCTGCATTCGCAGCTCCATTATTACGTTGAGCATGCGATGTCAAGTTTTTGATTTTATTTTCGTAAAGAAGCTCGATTTCTTCACGATTAGCTCTCATTTGGGCTTCGTATTGTTCACGAAGTTCATGAAGAGACTGTTGTAGTTTAGCTTCATATTGTTCAGCAAGTCGTCCATCAATTTCTGATATTTCCACTTGACGTCTTGAACGAGTCTCTGATAATTCTTGCTGGAAGACTTGATCTTTAAAACTGATATCTTCTTTTAGACTTTGAATATTATTTTCTAAGTCAATTCTTTGAAGAGTTTCTTCCTCTAAATGCTTTCTAGCATCATCTAATTGGGCTTTGAGTTTCTCGTTTTCCTTTTCCAATTCTCTTTCATGCTCTTGAAGCTTCTTTTTCTCTGACTGAACTTGATTGTACTGTGATTGGAGGTCATTGTAGCGTGTTTCACACAAAATATAATTGCGTTCATAAACGTGCAATTCCTTCGTCTTCTTATCCAACCTGAAACAAAATAAAGACTTTTGATAAAATATATGCCAGGTATAATTGTATTAGTTAAATAATAGCTGATTAATATCTTATCATTGAAAAACAAAAGAGGAATTCATGTTGCATTAAGTTGTAAGACTTTCTTCAGACATTTCACTGGGCTTAGATAACTTGAATGATAAGTATATGGCCTCAACAATAATTCATTTGTTTTATCCGGTTTAACCTTACTATCCTTGGCCTACTCTTTTGATACCATAAATAAGGATCATCGTCCTTAAACATGACTCACAAACATAATAAAATATTTCTTTCTATTCACACCAGTTATTTATATTCTCTTATTATGTACACATTTGCTAATTAATCCGATAAATTTATTGTTAAATCCTGCAAGAATTATAAGTTCAATGAATTAGAAAATTTTTTTTAGGCGCTTTGAACAAAATAAAGAAGTAATGAAAAGTTATAAAAAATATTATTTAGATATTAGCCGCATGACTAGAAGCAGCTATTTCCAGCAGTTTGACCCACATTGGGGATTTTATTTCCCGCCAAGTGATCTACGGTATAGCTTTAACCAAGGCCAAGCTTCATTAACAATCAATACTACGCTACAGATGATCCTGGCAAGAATTTAACGCACTAGAAGGATTAGCTAACTTTTTATGCTTTAAGAAATATCTTAGAAAAGTTTTACGATTAGATAAACAAGAAGAACGGACAAGACGATGAAAGAATAAAGTTAGAGATGAACTTGATGCTTGATTGGTGTTCAACGCCCTCCTAGAGCAGAAGGACAAAAAGAAGAGTGGAGTAATGTAATCTTAGTAGGGGGTAGTGTTTCATTCAACATATGTTGACTTCAACATACTAGATGGAGTATCAATTAACACAATTGGTAGCGTCAGATGTTTTTCTTTTGTTTTATATTTTTATTATCTTATTTTAATTCTTATTGTTAAATAAGATTTGTCAAACATTCAATAATTTTATTATAGATATTAAAACATTTATAATAGTCTTAAAATATTTAAATCTGATAAAATTTTATTTTCAGTAATTAGTCATATTTTTTAAGTTAATCTTGATTTGTAATATCATTAAGTCATAATGACTTTTTTCTTGAATTAAATAAAGAAATTAAAAAAAAAAATAGAACACCGATATATTGCGAAAAGTGTGATCATGTGTAAGAATGAGATAAGCTTACTTTTATGAACTTTTACTTGGAATTTTTGATTCATTAACATAATTGTTGATTGTGCGACATTAATTCAACAATATTGATTGGTCATAATTTTTTTTGCCTAAGCAATTTACACATACCAGTTGAAGGATAGAAATAAAATTATCAGACTGGATGACATTGTATAAAATAAATATAAGCAGTTATTATCCTACATTTCAACTAAAATATTGATGACGAAATGTCTACATGATGTCATTCTCTTAAATTCGCACGCATAAAAAATTCATTCAAGTTCAGCTTCAGCAATGTAGCATACAAAATACTTTTTCCTTTGCATCAGTCATGATTACATATCATTTATGTCATTATCACAATGTGCATGTAAAGAATCGTTTATTTTTCTTATCTTAAAAATAACAAAATAGAAATATTTATGTTAGAAACTGTTTGTTGGAATCAATCAAATTATTTTGATTATTTTTTTTAAAAAGCAAAAAAAAAAACATTTCGTGAATGTCAAAAATAGCCTGGATGTTGAAGCTGATATTTTTGAATAAGGTAATAGAATGCCGGTAGGCTGACATCATCAGCACATAGTAAGCGTGACGCAACTGCTCATGTAGTATATGTTGTAATGTAAGTGTTGTATTTTGATGATGCCGTACCCTCTGTACAAACTTACAACTCGCCAAAGATACCCGGGAATTACTAATTAGAAAAAAAGGTCTACATGACTTTATGCTATGTAATTCCACTGTTAGCCAGATTGGTCTCTGAATGCTTAGAACTCCCCTTCGAGAGGGGTTAAACTATTTTTCATGCTCCAAGTAACCAGAAACAATTGAATGAAAATTTTGTATATAGATATGCATTCTGCCTTTATCTATAGTTTCCTCAATAAAATAGAAATTGACTCAATCATTCTCTTTTATAATTATTATCATCATGACTATTATGATTATTACTATTCTACGAGGTTATGATTAATGGTTTTATTTATCAGATATCAGAAATTTTTGAGCAATCAAACATTTTGTATTGAGTAATATTCGTTTATATTTAACATATAATATTATGCATTGATAAACATAATGTTTTTTTAATGTAATGTTAAGTTAAATTTTTATTAATATTTTATTTAATCTTTTAACAGATAAAGTTATTATTTTAAATCACATTTTTTGAGGTATTATTTCATCAATATTTATAAAAGTTATCTCATCAATTCTCATAAAATATGAGTTTTTATAAAATGATTTTTCCTTTGCTTCTTTGAATAAATATCAGTAAAAATCTAAAGATAAATTTATTGAAAAAAAAATCAATTTGTCATAAAGGTTTTTTTTCTCAAGAACTTGTTTCATTTTGGAGCTTTATATAAGTTTCTTTTTTAATTAAGTTTGTTTAGTAAAATTGTAACAGAATAATTAACGAATTAATATAATATCAGAAAGTAGAAAGTCGAGAGTTGAACTTGCAAAATTATTTCAACTCTGACTAAATATAGACTTGAGAAAATCTCTAATTCATCAGAGAAATTGGGGTTATAATTCAGCAATGACATAAAAAAATAAATAACTGTTATAATTATGTATAACAAATAAAATAAAATCTATACAAATGGAGTTTGTTATTAATTCTAATATATATTCCGGCTACTTACTTAGCTTTGAGATCCTCATTGTCATCCCACAAACGTTTGGTGTCAATTTCAAGCTTAGCTCTTTCTCGAGCTGTTTCGTCAAGAAGTTTTCTGGTATCTGATAATTCATTTTCATACATGGACTTGATATTGGAGACTTCACGGGTGACAATCTCCTGGGAAGTCTGAACCTCCCGCGTAAGTCGTGAGTTTTCAGTTTCAAGATGACGCACCTTCTCAATATAACAAGCAAGACGATCATTTAGATTTTGTAGGTCGTGTTTTTCTTGTAGACGAGAATACCGAGTAGGGCTCAAAGGACTTCCTGGACGCCGGCCTATCGGCGTCGATGTACTTGGCTGGGGTGATTGAATTGTAGTATTACTACTCATACTAGACGACGCTGCTACTGTCTTTTTACTCGATTTCGTAGACATCTTGATGTACACAATATTTTTTCAAATTATTTATATATTTGTGTTTGTACTAAGAAACTCCACACACTAATGATTATCTTATTACAACGATTGTAATCATAAACGAACCGTCAACTCGGCATAAATATGAACACCGCGTCTGTGAGAAAATTACTCAGACAATACGTGTGTATATCAACTGAGTGACGATTTTCGTACTACGGCAGTCAATCGAGAGCGTCGATTAACGGACAAACACGCTATGCTTCGATATTGTGACGCGGAAGCGTGTATTCAGCAGTTATGCCGGCAATCAGACGCCATTACGGCCTTTATAACATGATTGGTCATAATTTGCGCATGCCATTTGGGGAAAATAATTTAAAATTCAAAAATATACATGATTAAAAATAAAGTAATTAAATGTAAATATGGATATATCATATAATTAAGAAGTAATTATAATAACTTAAATAATTGTAGATGAACACGCCATTGTTATTGTGTCCGTTGTTAGTTTGTTACATGTAGATCAAGCAGATAACTATTATATCGACACGATATAAATGTTTCAATTACATTTTCAACCAGCAGAGGGAACTTAGAGCTGTTTTTAAAATTTAATTTTCAAACTAAGTGTGAAGAAAAATAATTGTTATTGATCAGAAAATGTGTATTTATACTAAAAAAAAATTAATAATTATGTTAATTTTCTATCTATATATACTAATGAATGGTGGGAAATTAATTATAAAACAGTAGATTATTAGACTAAACAATTTTTATTAAGAGTATGTAATATGCAAAACATTATTACAAACAATTGTTTGAATTACATTATAAAAGAATCAAACATAAATTTATTTAAACATTGTAATATGATTTATTTAACAACCATGAAATGTAACGAAGGTAGACAGATTTTGTATAAGAGAAAAGGTTATCATAATTTGTTTAGACTTAACTAATTAAATATTAGTATGAATAAATTTGCAAGATTCCATCGAATAAGAACATGATTATCAATGTTATTTGTTATCATAATGTTTATTGTAAATTGTAATAATTCAATCACGAAAAAGAAAAGAAAACCAAAATTATTACTATTGTCTTAAAGATAATAATTAAATAGATTAATGACTTTTATGATTCTAGACAAAAAATATATATCTTTCAGTTAAAGAATATTCCTCATAAGTCTAATATTAAATATATATTCATATATATATATATATATATATATGATTTCCTCCTTTTTTATAACATTTTTCAATATATATTTCTCTCCTAGTTATGCATAAATTATATACACTAGTTATCTTTCAATTTCAATTAATCAAATGACAATCAAGATACAGTAATCATTACATTAAATTTTTTTTTTAATATTACAATTATTATTTATGGGTTTTTGGTCTTACAACGCAGTGTTACTTCAGTCGTCTTTGGTAGAGATGTGCGTTCAACTTTCCTTGCGCTGTTCATTTTTTCCTTTTCTATTTAAATTACTTTTATTTTATATTTACTTTACAATTATAATTTTCCTTATTTATTCTTATACTCGATTATTTACTTTTTCTTTCATGTCGACAATAAATTCTTAAGACTTCTTTTCGTAAACATTTCTGTTCCCTGAGCTGGCATAAACAACCTTTTCAGTCTTTACCACTTAATAGAATTTCTTATTTCTTTTATTTATCTTTTCTTTCACAATAATTACCATACATCAGGTAAAACAGTTAATGATCACTTTCAAAGGCATTTGTTTTATATATTTTTGGTCATTTCAAAAAATTTATTTTTCGTGTCAAACTTTATCATTCAAAAAAATATGCTATTTATTTCATGTTTATTAATCATTCATTAATTCATTATCAATGATACTTTTAGCTTCTAAATAAAATATTCAAGTTGCATAAGAAAAGGCCAATTCCAATGATTTATTTACATAATCTTATCAAGGCTTTCTTTCATGATCACAAATGGTTGCAATTATTATTTAAACTTCACTAAATTGCACAAAAGCAACAAAATTTTTCAACTATAAAGTTAATTTCGCCAAACTCTACCATAAATAACACATTAACAAAATTTAAAATATACAAAATTGTCATTGATTTCGAGAATAATTAATTAACAATTATTTTCAGTTAACATATAAATTGATTGCAAAAATTGTAAAATTTACTTTCTCTAATTGAAATATAAACTTTCTCATTAATCTATAAATTCAGTTCGATCAACATTATTAAACCATTATTACTACTATTTTAATCGCAACACAGTAGCAAATATTCATGATTCATGTTTATTTTCATTATTCATATACTTTTACTGTATCATATCATTTAGGAATGATGATTTTCAAGTCATGATAGGTATAAAACCATAAGGACTATAAAACCAATAAGAGCAAAAATGCAAAGCAAAAGAAAATTGAATGAATTGATGAGCTAATTATTCAATTAATAATTACATAGGAACTATTCATTGCTCATGGCTTAATGACGTGCAGGTCGTTTTCCTGTCTTATGTTTTCGATGAACATTGAACTCGTGTTTTTCTCGTGAGTCTGAAGACTCAAAGGAAGTGTCAGAACCGCTAGCTTGTTCGAGTTTTCTTTTCCGCGACCTTGTAATAGGCCCATTACTTCCTTCACTACTGTGTTCTTCTACTTCAGTATCCATCCCCCTCTTTCGTCGTTTAGATTTTGGTGGTTCTAATGAGTCGCTTATTCGGCTTCTACTTCGATACACTTCAGCAATAATACGTGGAGAGCTTGAATCAGAAGATGATGATAGAGAACTTAAATATTCATGAACACGATCTTCACTAAAATCAAAAGCATTTGGTTGAGCTGGAGATGCTGATGTGATTATGCTAGTTGTAGCACTTGGAGGTCTTAACAGTTGCATTGACGATGGACTTGATGATGTTGTAGATGCTGACGATGATACTGAACTTGATGTAGATCGTTTGTGAAGTTTACGACGTTGAGCAAGTTTAGCACCATCTACTTCTTTCAATCTAAAAGTACTGGGCTTTTCACTTGGTCCCGAGGTTGATGCAACTTTAATATTTTCAACAACTACAGATGTACCAGTCAGCCAAAAATGATGCACAAGATCATTCGCATTAAGCCTATTATCTGGATCAGTATTTAATAATCCTCTAGCAACAGATAATCCATCAGGACTTATATGACTCCATTCTTCATTATCAAAATTTATTTCTCCAGCTCTTATTCTTGTTGCTAAATCTGGAGATCCTATTCTAAATGGCGGTTTACCTGATAATAGAGAATACAAAATCGCACCTAGACTCCACAAATCACAGCTTTCATCATAGCCCTGACGAGCTAAAATTTCTGGAGCTGCATAAGGAAGCGTAAAACATGGAGTATGAAGAGGCTCACATGCTCTTTTCAGTCTTGCAAATCCAAAATCAACGATTTTGACTGGCGAATTCTCACTGGCATTGGCATATACTAAATTTTCTGGCTTTAAATCTCGATGTACAACTCCACGCATATGCATAAATTGTACTGCTGAAGCCAATTGTCTCATGATTTTTCTAGCTTCATCTTCGGTGTAATTACGTGCTGATTTTAACAATTCACCTCCCGATAACAATTCCATCACAATATATGTGTGTGCTCGATCTTGATAGACATCAATCAATTTAACAATATTTGGATGACCCTGGCAAGCACGAAGAAGATTTGTTTCACGACTGCAATCAACTCTTCTGCTTACAATTTTTACAGCATATTCTTGTTGAGTTTGTCGATGTCGACATCGACGACATACTGAAAAGCTTCCATCACCTAAAGCCTCTTCTCGTGTATCTAATTCGTAAACTTGGAAGAACGAAGATTCCTCAAACCTTGAAGCTAAAACATCACAAGTAGATGGACGATTTGGCTCTTGTGTGGGTGTGGTAGCTTCTTTAAAGATTTCTTCACTTATTAAATTGTCTCCAAAAAGAACGCTTGGTGCTACATATGAGTAACCTCGGAAAATTTTGTCATAATTAGGAGGGACAACAGCTGGACTGTCAGCAGCAACCATTTTAGTGAATTCATCTGAAAAATTGCTGGTATCTAATTCATGAGCAATTCTAGGCACAAAAGGTGGTGGAACTTGTCTTTTTTCTAATGCTTCCCAACTGAATGCTGGATAAGCTTTCTTAAAGAAATGATGCTCTTTAAGTTCCTTAGCATCACGGGGTCCACCACCAAGCCGTTGACGTGGGTCTTTGATCAGTAGTTTGGAAATAAAACTACGAACTGAAGAACTAAGATGATTTGGAATTGGTGGCTCTGTCTTCAATATTCTCCGAGATATTTCTTGTTGTGTGTTTTTCTCACCTTCAACCGTAAAAGGTGATGCTCCAGTCAGCAATTCGTAGGTTAATACGCCAACGCTCCACCAGTCAACAGCCTAAAAAAAAATAATTTTCAATGCATTTTTCCAGAATACTTTTATTAATTTTTTTTAGAAAAATTATAGCATGATGTAAGCGTTGATTAGATTTAATTTGACGTTTGATTTAGCAATAGCTGAGTGTGGTAACAACTGTAATGACTGTAATACTTACAATATCGTGACCAGCTGAACCACCTCGCACAACTTCCGGTGCCATGTACTCGATGGTCCCGCAAAAGGAATAGGCACGAGCATTGTTGTCTCTCTCATGTGGTAAAAATTCCTTACTGAGTCCAAAGTCAGTAAGTACAATGTGCCCTTCTCGATCCAAAAGAATATTCTCTAATTTTATATCTCGGTAAATGATCCCCAGCTACAAATAAATAAAATTTCTCGTTAAATTTTTAATCATAGTCATTTAAAATAATGAAATTATATCATAATATTTCATGCTAATTAAAAGCATATGAAGGACAAATAATAACATGCAATTTCTGTGTAAATTTTTGAAATTAAAGATCATTATGAAAAAAGTAGAAATTGAAATTATCATTCATAACTCATACCACATTTTTATAATATTTCTATTTATTACTAACCTTGTGGAGATGTTCGAGTGCTAAAATAATTTCTCCGATATATATTCGCACTTCATCTTCATTAAAATGTTCACGTTGATACAAATGAGTAAACAGTTCTCCACCGCTTACATAATCTGAAAAAATACATTATTCAATTGTATTGGAGACATTTAGGAAGGATTTATTGATTATCTTGTTTTGAATAGACTTTGTATTGGCAACTCAATACTTAGAGTATTAAGTAATCGATATTTAGTAAAAAAATGTTTCAAGTTCAATAATATATTTACCTAATATCAAGTGAAGCTTGGCATCTGTTTGAAATGCATAATGAAGAGTTACTAAAAACGGACTATCTCTGACAGCTTCTAATACTTGTCTTTCTGTTTTAGTGTGTTCAGTAGTTTTCTTCTTTTGAACAATTGATGCTTTTTTCAGGACTTTCATTGCGTACAAACGACCAGCATCTGCACCAGTTCTCTTACGTACCAGGAAGACTTTTCCATATGCTAAAAGATATAACAAAGAAATAATATTATAAATATAATGATGACTAAATTGATAAAAAATATCCAAAATGCATTAATTGTTTAGAATTATTTTACCTCCTGTTCCGAGGACTTTGAGTAAGTCAAAGTGCGTCATATCGACCCTCTGGCCCCCACCGTCTGCTAAATTGACTGAAACATAAAAAGAAAAAACATTCAGACTTAAACCTTGAAGACGATCAATATTTAAAAATGTATTAAGTCAAAAATTAAAATTATTTTAAATTCATAAAGTGAAATCATTAAACAAGTTTCCATCATTCTTTGTAATCTTTTCAACTAATTAAGTAATTTAATAAATGCATATATACAAGTGTTTTGTTTCATGTAAATAGTATGTCTCGTGTAGGTAACATATTTCTGCAATTGTCAAAATATACTCGTATAATTTATTTGATATTTATTCATATTTCGAAAGATCTTATTCATGGTATAAAAATTTAATGTAACATATTTTTATATGATATTTAATTATAATGAATTCATGTAAAGGCCCTTTCTTATCATTAAACTCACATTCTTTTGGAGTATTCGATAGCCTACATTCAAGGAATCTCTAATGTTACAAGAACTAGGTCGAGATAAATGAGCAAGAAGTTGTAACACTCATTGTTTCTTTGCAATTAACTCTATCTTTTTTAAGTTTCAAGTCATTTTTGGGTAATTAACACACCTTAATGCTTTAAAGGAACTTATTACAATAAAAGAAAAATAATTATTCTCTCGTTTTGAATAATATTTTTTCAGGTTAAAAAGTTGTTTTTTTGTTTTTTTTTGTCTTATCAATAAAACAATTAAGAAACAATTAATTCTATATAATTGAATATATTTTTAAAATAAAAATTAATTTATCTTGATTAAAATATATTTGTCAGAAGATAAATTGATTCACTACTTGGTAATAAAATATTTATTTCTTTTTACTATTTTTTTTTTTTATCTTCTCAAAACAATTTTTTTCATTACCTGTTCATTTGATTATATCAACTTGATGTTCAATAATACTAATATTAGAAAAAATAAGCTGATTAAAGACTGTGTATTTGAATAGAAAAAATATAGTTTACTCATACTAGTTAGTAGAAAAAAAATATTTCCATTTTACAATTGTATAATTACTTCAGTAAAAATAACTTTCTGAAAAATATAGTGATTTGAATGCAATGCTCTAATTATTACGAATATTTTTTTTTTATCGCATGCTGCAGTCTTCCATTATGTCAACATTGAGAATTGAGTGTTAAAAATTTTTTTGTAAGAATTCTTTCAACAAACAATTCAAAGAAATGATTAAATTTTACTCAACAATAATAATTCATAAAATACATAAAAAAATATGCCATTACTAAATAAATACAACGATATATGAAAATTACCATTTTGTTTTTTTCTGATTTATATTTATTCACGTATTTAAGTTGAAATACTTGGATGTATTGCAACCTGAATAACCATTTAAATCCAATGCTCTAATTGTTTTAAATATTTTTTAGGCCACGTGTTTATTACAACCAGAACACAAGTGAAAAAGAGTAAAAATAAATCAAAGTGAATGGAAAATTCTAAAGAAAATTATTCCAAAATCACTTTGCAGAAAGTTAGACGGCTAAAGAAAGAGAAAATATCTTTTCTTTCAGGTTCAATATGAAAAATCTGACAAAGAGATGAAAAATTAATAGAATAATCTTTTGTGAGAAAGCCAAACGATCTTTGTCGCAAGTTCACGACACAAAGGAGCCATGAATTATTCTAAAAGGGACAGAGATGGTCAAATATCTAAAAGACCTGAAGTTAGAGTTGATGTAAGCAAGATAAACATATTATTGAATCGAACACAACAAGCCCTAACAACTGCTGCAGAGGGGAAGCTGACTCAACGAAAATGAGCCTTGTTCAATTCCCTCCGGTGTTCCGTGTTAGACCCTGGTCTCTCTTTTTCTCTCTGTCTGTGGTATCCGTGTCAAGGTGGTGGAACGGCGCGACCATGATCGTCGAGCACCTAGTAAATACTGCACCGACCGTTTATCTGCAATTGTTTCTTAGATGTATTCAAATACTTTTTGGAGTAATAATACCCTTAAGTTGGAACGGTCTGGGGTATCATAAAGTGCAGGTCTACATTTGGCAATCCCAGTCGTTTCGTGTACTATTACAATGACAGTTAAATAGAATAGGAGCCTGAGTTGGTATTAGATAAAGACAATGATGAAATGCCTGCATACTTGGGTTTTATATATGACCCAAATTCAAAGACTTATTTGTCTCCCACAATTTGTTAGGCTTCATGGGCGTCACATACTTCATTGAAACGATCTAGGAAGGAACTGAAAGATATTCTAAAAGCTCAGACAGTCTCGTAATTGTCCTAGAATTGAGGTTTATTTGCTTGTTAAATAGAATAAGTTTGGATTATTTTATTAAGGGTCTTAACAGCCAAGTTACTTTCGAAGAAAGGTAACAAATCCATTTTTATTTCTTTCCTTTCTTTCAGTACTTGTTTGAATAACTTTTCCTTTGATTGTTTCCGGATTAGCAGTCTAATTCCAATAACAATTGGCACTTTGAAAATTTACCTCTAGTACTTTATTTGATTTATGACTGAAAAGGTCCTTGTATCTTTTATTTAGTAAGTAACTCATTGATGATTAATTTTCATTTGAACAGTAATATAACTCTGAAATTAATAATTCATTTCTGAATTGGAGCATGAAAAATACTTCAATATTAACAGTTATTTTGGCTGATGAATTTTTCAAATAATGTATAATCAAAATTTTACACGTTTTCATTAATTAACCTTATATTTGATTTATCTGAAATATTTTCAGTTATTCTAATCATTTTCAAGTTATGAGTAATCGTGATAATAGCTTTCCTTTATTAAAATCTCTGAAAAATTAACAATTTAATGAAGAAAATGTTATAAATGGTTAACAATTATTAATGTTATTTATTATTTCAATTAAGATAAAATTTCTAGAAGCAGTTTTTTCTAATGAAATTTCACTTTTATTTTAATTCACTGGTGACGTTTGGAACTAACTTTCAAATCATTCATTTTCGTTGTCAATAATTATCAAGAGAGATTATTTCATCTAATAATTCAAACCATGATAAACATTTTAATCCACAAAATTAGTAAATAATTAATACATTTTGTAAACAAAAATATTTACAAGTAACTTTTATTTTCCAAAATGTTTTTCTTCTTTGTCAATTGTCAACATTGCAATGATTGCTGTTGCATTTAAAGACTTCTTAGTAATTATCACACAGAATTTCGACAGAAATAACAGCTGCAGTAGTTGAAAAAAAAAATCTTCTTTACATTGTTTAAAAATACTCGAGTTTCTTTTTTTTTGATATTTTATGGATGAGTGAAGAAGGCGTGGGCTCATTTCGAAATTTCTTTCGTAAAGTTTTTTGATACGAGGCCGGCACCAAGCATCACCAACAGTATATAAGCGGGACTCCCCTGATTCTGATGTTCCCCTCTTAGCCCCGTCACGGAAGTTCCGCTTTTGTACGACCCAGATAGCCGGCATTCACTCGCTATTTCGTAACGGGACCGACTTTCTTTTGGTTACCTGACTCACTCAAACCACTATCCATGGTATTATCGTCTCTGCAACTCGATTTCATATACATATACATTCACAAATTATGAATTAGGACCTTTAAAGGTCGTCAACAACGTAATATAGCTCCAAATAATTAACCACTTTAACAATTGGATAACTCAACAATTTAATTAAATAATTTAATAGTCAATAAATAAATTGAGTTATGAAATAAGTTTTACTGGGAATATTTTCATAAATTCATTCTCAATCAGTTGATTTATTAATACATTTATAGAGCTTTAAAAAGCTTTTATAAAGTTTTGATTATTTTAGTAAATATTTTATTCTGAAAAACTTTATTGACTTTCTCATAAGAGTTTCCAAACAGTTTATTGCAAGATACCGTAATAAGTAACGTTTTCATTGCCTATAATACTAAAAGGCTCTTTCCTTTTTCTTCTCTCCTCCTTCACCTTTCTCGATTTATAAGCTTGTGCCTTAATTTAACCGCAGATTTCACTTGAAATCCTTGTGAGATCGCTTTGAGAACGAGCAATGAGGACTCGTGCATATAATCATTACAATCACTTTAACAACTAAATTAATAATATTTAAATAATAAAAATAACATCATTATTATTGGAGTAAGTATGAAAATTTTGTTGCCATATGATTTGAAAAAAAATTTTATTTTAAATCATCAGCAGAGAAAGATAAAACAAAAGACAGAGATAAATGTGGCTATAAGTTGACTCCATACTTGGAGGAATTTAAAAATAACTTTTAAAGCTAAATGATAAGTCCAACTGTTGACGAAGAAACTTGACAAGTCTACATTTGACGTCGAAGTTCAAGGTATTCCCTGGTATTTCTGCATAGCACTAGTAGCTATATGTATATAATGGCAATGCCGTTGAGTAGGAGTATAGGCAAAGATAAAGGTAGAAAGTGCGATTTAACGATCATTAAATACTTCAGAACTGTTAATTCTTCCTCGAACTTTATAATCTTACAATTGTTCTCACTTTCTTTGTCATACAACATTTATTATACGACAAATTAAATGTCATTTATAGACATACTTATGTATTTAATAATAACTAATCAAATCAATACTTCATTTGACCTCTTATTTCACCATTTTTAAATAATTATTTTGTAATAACGACTCTACTTCATTTTTTAACAATAATAATAAACTGACTGTTGGCAGTTAAAAATAAATACTTGAAATATTCAAAAATTTTTTATCAATCAAATGACCATGAATTAATTATTTGATGTTTAATTATTTAAAGAAAATCATCATTCAGAGAATTTAAGTTTGCTATTATCAATTAATTATTCATCATAATAAAAAAAAATATTAATAATTATAATGACTTTAAAAAAATGGTATTTTAATGAATTATCAAGACAATTTAAATATGTATAAAGGTTTTTTTGTTTGTTTTTTAAATAAAAAAGCTAGCTATAAATGGATTGATCTAAAAATAGAAACAATTGTTTTTGTTCACTGGCAGATGGTTTAAACTAGATAAGTCTAAAAAAAAATTATATAAATTGGAGAAAAAAAATATTTAAATTATATCGTTTTTATTCATTATCAGACGACCTGCTGTACTGTTTACTTCAGGACTTTTTGCAAATGTATACTGTCTTATCGTTTGTTTCCTTGTAGAACACACTTGAGTCTAATCGCTCACTCACGATATACTACATTATATGCTCGTAATAAATTAAGTTTCATGGATCAGAAGTTCACTATTGTAACCTCCTCATACTATTTGAAATATGTACAAATCTCAACGTATTTGTCTTGACAATTTCAATAGAATATACATATTATATTTTTATTTTAAAAATACTTATTATTTATGAATTTAAACATTTTTTTTTATCATATTCACAGATAACAAATGAACCTTGAGAATATTTAGAATAGAAGACCTGGAAATTTATCGAGTTGTTTAATTATTATCTATCGAATAACTAGAATTATCTATAAACATCAACAAGGTTGTTCAGGACATCTATCAATGTATTTCAATTATTTATGAATATTATTTTGAAATAAATTATTGATTAAAATTTTGTAATGTGATTAAAAAAATATTGATAACAAAATTTTTTAAAGTAAATATTTTTTTTAGAGTAAATATTTTTGCAAGTGGAGAATATTTAACAAGTAATTTTTTTTCAAAAGATATTTAATTGGTACTAATAACATTATTTGAAACCTGTAATTAATTATTCACTATATAATATAAATTACAAAGTTAAAGCTACTAATGACTTCTTGATTGATAGTTTTTCAAAATTAATTTTGTCAGCTAATTAGTCCAAGTAAATCAATAAAGAATTAATTGACGATTTAACAAATGTTTTTCTAGTGATAAGAAAATTAAATTTAAGCGAGATAAATGTATAAGAGTCAAAGTCTACTATGTACTCTAGATTCATTTGCGATTGCAGAAGCAGAAATGCATCATTTAAGAGTATAAATTGCATGGATAAAAGATAAAAGTATATAGACTATGGGTGTTATAAGTGCATCATATAGAAAATAATGGAAAAACTATAGATTTTTTGCATACCCTAATAAGCGGGTACCAGCATTTTTTCCATCTTTTGTTCCATCATTTTACAGCATAAATTACAAGTAATAAAACAAGGAAGATTATTGAAATATTGAAAGAAAATTTTTTCAAGTTTGTTAAATGTTTTCTCCTGCAATCATTTTCAACATCAAGGACACAATCATTTGGCATTGCTTCAATATAATAATTTTTGAAACAATAATTATTTGCCATAATGATTTTAAATAAAGATTAAAATTTCGTGCGAATCATCAGCGAATATTCTCGTCTGTTTTGTCCATAGAAATGTCAAGGCTGACACATGCGAGTTAATGTATTGTTGTATTAGATCGTATGTGTTCTTCCTCAGTTGAACTCTCTGGATCACGTGGCATGTTTTGTACGAGCAGCCATAGTTTTTTTTATACACGATGTTGTGTGTTATAAGTGAATATTATTGCGATATACACTTGCACCACATTTGTCACATGTTTCTTTATATATTTTCAAAGCCTTCTTTATACTGTATAATTTATTATCATATAAATTCATTTTTCATCAGAAATTTGTTCACTTATTTTTAAATCCTCTACATCATTTTTTTTTTCTCAATATTTTATTAGGTCAACATGAGTTAAATATATTCAAACAGATTGTTATCAATTCAATATACTAGGAATAATATTCATATTAACTTTATTCTTGAGTTTTGGAGTAGTAAAAAATGTATGGGTATTATGTGTGTACACTGAGTTTAGGTCAGGAAACCAGCAGGAGTGTCACCCCCTATACACAAGGGGAAAAAACAAAATCACGAGATAGGAAATTGTAATACGGATAATTTAGTGCTACTGGGTCGATCAGTATAAGACCTGATCTCCCCACGTGCTTCTGCTCTCACAACCAACCTATTGATTCACCTCGTGCTCTATTTACTAGGTATAAAACTAGGGAGTTAGCATCAGGGTAAAAGGTCTAATTCTTTACTATTTTATTTTTCCTGGAGCACCACTATGTTCTTTTTATTATTCATAATCGACCAAATGATTAATTTTTACTCCACCGTGATCTTGCTTTAATGTTTGTCCAATATAGAAGATGTTTATTTCTAACAAATACTACACAAATATTATCTTGTTATTAATGACTTTGTCTAATAATCGATAAACTACTTTCATCTATCGATTGAAACAATAACTTCTCAGTGATATAGGTAGTAAATATGACAACAATGTTCGTGATGATGTAATTCTGTAGAGCAGCAGCAATGGAGAATATTTTTTTGGAATTATTATTATATAATAGCATTGTGTAATTAATTAAATAAACTAACTAATTATTATATGCTTTAATTTCCAAAAATGATTACGACTTTGTATGGTGTTAATTAGTAAAATTTATTTCATTACAGTTTATTAAAATTATTATTAATTTTTATTATTATTAAATATTTCTTGAATTAGATTAAGAAAAGTCTTTTTTTTTTTATTTAAATAAATCGTTTTGTTGTGAAAATAAAGTTCATGCTAATAATAAGTATTTTCAATATTGTTTCAAAATTCAGAAACATTGACTTATTTAAAATAATAAAAATATTTTTATCAAAGTCTTCTCCGAGCAAACACAAATTTATTTTCGTTTAATGACCTATTGTTTTTTGAAAATAAAAATATATTTTAAATTTTTCATGATTATTTTAATGTAAAATTTACATTGATGTCATAGAATTTTTATTTGTTATTAAAAAAATATTTTATTGTCATAAAAAAAATAATTTTTTCTATCAAATAACGTTAAATGAAGAATCAATGTAATATTCAAAAATAACATTCAAATTCATTGTTTTCAGAGTAGCAGAAAAAATACGAGATTGTAATGAATTAATTTTTATCTATTATTTTATTGGAAATATTTTAATAAAAAATACATTGCGATGAAAAATAAATTTTCCTCTAATTAAAATACAAAGAAAATGGATCAGAGAAACCTTGTGTTACTTTTCTAGACTCAGAGTATTTGGTAACAGTCAAGGATTGTCTATGAATAAATGAAACTTAGGTATTACAGTATCTAAAAATATCTAGAAACGATTCCTTTCACAGGTGAAAGTACGGTAAGATTATTTGAGAGGACGGAAAGACCTTGCGTTATACCTGATATCACAAATTAGTTAAAGAACAAATTGATGTGCATCATTAATAATAAATCCTACATCACTTTAAACACACTTGATGTCAATATGGATATTAATTTCTAGAAAAAAAAAAGTGACATTGACGTAATATCATTCAAAACATTCATCATTAATATTGACACCTTTGATGAAATTCAATATTTAAAAACTAACATAAGACTTTTTACGTCAAAGCAATTGTTATTTAAAGAATCTATTAATTTACTATCGTATTAGATAACTCATAAATAAAAAAAAGTTTACATAAAATTTTTTTTTTATTTTGAATCATAGATGTGGGCAATTATACAATCATCTATTGTCCGTTTATCAACAAATTAAGTTAGAAATATAAGCGGCTTCAAACAAATAGTGTTTAAATTAGACTATGAATAAAAAGATCAAAGTAATTTTTAAAAATAAATAATATTTATACTCATGCAAAACCTATGATAAAATAATTTGCTCATCAATACCAGAATTAGCTGATGCAATATTTGCTCAATTTCACATACTCTAGCAAATAATTGTTCAAAGAACAAATTAATAAAAAAGTAATTAAACAGCTTCTTAGAATAATCAATATTTACTGTTTACAACCAATATTTATTAGAATTGTTTAATCATCATTACTAATGTTTAAAGCAAGAGTATTTTGAACTGATCAAATTCGCCTAATTCGTTCAAAATACTTCATTCAATCATTACGCGATACAATGTTTTTTTCTATGCCCATAAATAATAAGTTTATCCTATAAAAATAAATCTTCAAATACAGAATAATAACTTCATTGACAGATAAAAAAATAAAATCAAAAATATCAATATATTGGATACAAAAAATTGCAATAAAAATAAAATGAATATTGAAATACATATCTACCTTCACTCTCCCTAACAGCAATTTCAAATTCCTCTACTGAAGTTGGAACTTCTGGTGATAAAGGTGAATCGGTAACGTCAAGCTGTCGTATTGCTTTCGATAATCCATAAGAACCAGATCCACATTTTCTATTATCATCATCACCAATGGTTGTTTCTTCATAGATGATCTCCACATCACTCCCGTCTTCAAAGTATCCACTTTCATGCTCTGGATTCTTCATTTTTACTATATAATTATTTCGACTCCTTCTTTTTTTCAAAATTCCAAGACAAATCGGTATTTCACACTAAATAATTTTTCACTGATTTAAAAGAATTCAATGCTAAGACCTTGACATTTTCATTCTTTCCACTTTACACGTGGCCAGACGTCTATCCTTGATATAAATCTGCGACGCAGCAGTAAATGACAGTCAGGCAATTGTTGAAAATTGCCGTTAAATTGAAGATTAAGCAAGATAATTAGTATTAATTTACACAATATTTTGGCTGCCTTGATATGAATGTTGATATCTTTGGTCTTCTTAAAAGGTGACAATGTCTTCTTGGTCTTGACACAATGTCAGCAATACGCAAAATATCAGTAGCGAATAAGGTGTTTACTGTAGCTACATCCGTGATCGCGCATGAGCATTCGAAGAAACGGCTGAGGCTGGTCACCACGTGCCTTGAAACGGGAACGTGATGAAAGTGTTAACACGTGGATGGAAGTACTTTACCTTGAGTACAGATTAATCCAACCAAAACGTGATTGGACGACTTGTTAAAACAATTGGAGGACAATAATTGATAAAAAAATTATAAAAATGTATCCTCTGATAGCAATTAATAAATGCTCTAGTCTTTAATAGCCTTCGGAGTAAGACCGATTGTAAGTTATCCCACTGACACACTTACGTATTGACTACACAACTTGGTTAATTCTTTCTTGTGTTCACTGAGACCTTTGGACACATAAGAACTTGATTCCCAAAGTCACGTTTCGTAACAAACTTGTTTGAAAAATGAAAAAAAAGACGTATATTCTATCAGTACTTTTTCTCTTGTATTATTTATAAAAATGAAAGTTTGACAAGATTTAAGTGTCTTGTGAATGAACAAATGATGTTTCAACACAGCACTGCACTGGCCCCTTGGCTGATTTATAGTGAGTTGAAAAATTGAAGCTGATGTATTTTTATATCCTGGCTCTTGGACAGAATATTTTTAAAAAATATTATTATGCTCTGTTATTAATTTAAATGCACTATAATAAAAAATCTTTCAACTTTTATCAACACGCTAATGCCATCTTAACTTCAAGTTCTTTATCGTTAAACTTTCCAGTAGAATAGAACAACGTCGAGGCATATGTTCGTGTTATTCACAGGTCGATTGACGTCTGGCGGAAGACAGGTGTCACGCAAGAGACCTTCAGTCTCCTTTGAGTACAGACCAAAATCACTGATTCACGATACACATTGATTTATTGTTCAATTACCCGTTTGGTAACTTATCTTAAACTCATCACTATCAACTTCTTTTTCACCAACAATTTATGTAATATTAATATGGTGAGTTTTATTTCTAAAGAATTAATAGTACACTTTCACCAGGTGGATTTGATATTAAAAATCAGTTACAAAGTTTCACAATTATGGAAGAGTATTAAGATGAAAACACGGTGGAACGCGTGAAATTGTAGATTTGCAAAAAGAGTGAGAAGTCTAAACGAGTTCCTTCTTTGCAGGGAGCGGAGCACGAAGTGGCACGGATGCTCACCAGCGACCGACTGAAATGCCCCTCTCTTCGTTTACCCTCGGCAACTTACGTCGGGGAATAACAGCTGATTTGAAAAGCACTCGACGGGGGGGTTTAACAGGGCCGAACTTGTAAACTGTTAATGCCCTGGGTAGTTTGAAAAATTTTATCTTTCCGTATTTCTTTTCTTTCAAGTTTTCAGTACTTTTTAAACTGTACACTCTTCTTCTAAATAATGAGTTATTAATTGATACAAGATTTATAATTAATACTCATTTAAAACTCATTATTGAAAGAATCTTTTTTTTTAAATTCAATAAAAATTTTTCTGATATAATTAAATTTTTCTTTCTTTAATTAATAATTTTTTGTTGTTAATTCATTTTTAAATAGTTTAACGTAAAAATTTTGTCAATCGTAATTTTAAAAATATTACATTTATTTAAATAATTATTTATAAAAAATAAATATTTTGCCATTGAAAGTAAATAGTATCTATTGTTAATTAAATTATTATTTCAAAATGATCAAATAATCATAGGTCGAAATGAATGTCGATTTTAATTTAATATGAACAAAAATAAATTTGTCAGGTTTTCTACGTTGTTTGCTTGAATAAATTAATAATCATCACATTTAATTAGTAGCTATTAAATGATGGACATATAAATGAATAAGATTTTCAAGTTTCAAAGTATCAAAATCTGTATAATAAATGTTTCTTCATGACATAAAATTATTTTTAATAATTTTCTTTTTCTTACAATACTCCGTCGTTACTCATAAAAATAAATTTTATACTTATTTTGAAATGATTTATCTCAGAAACAATATATTTACACTAACGAAAACAACTTTGGTTAATGGAGTCGTTTCGTGGCCCTTGAAAATTATATTATCAAGATTCTTTGATTATTGAGGTCCCTTTAAACTGTTTACTTTTAAAATTCTTTTCAATACTACAGACTGTGAAAATATTAACCTGGATTTTCCAACTTCTATTTTAACAGATTCCATGAAAATGGAAGTGAATAACATATAATGGAGTAAACTGCAAAACTGAAGTTGTATGGTATTACGGTCTTTTCCAATGACGCATTAAGACAGAATAGGTGGAGAGTACCTTTCATTGAATATTATACCTACACCAGGTGACTCACACTAAGTGTGCTAAAATAAAACCCAAAGTAAGAAATATCATATAGTCCAGTCAATATAGGAGGCTTGGCTCCATTTGTCTTGAAAATTTTTGTACAAAGGGCAATTTTTAATTTTCTAATGTCAAAATATCCGTAATGACCTGTAGAAAAAATGTGCCCAAAAACGAAAGTGCGCTGATTTTTTTTTATATGATTTTTTCGCATTTTAGTGGTCCCGTGTATCTAAGCGAGACAGCACTATAGGCGGCACCACGCGCTAGAGAAGGACATAACTATCGGAATGAAAAAATCGTATTTTCGATAAAAAAAATGGAGTTTTCTTGTTCAATATTATTTTATTAATTATTTGATGAACAAAAAAACCTACAAAATCATCAATTTCTTAAAGTTGGTAATTTTTTCATTTATTTATAAAAATTTGTTTTTTTATTTATGTATAAAAAATTTCTTCATTATAGTAAATAATATATTTATTTATTATATTCATTCATTATTTATTTACTTATTTTGAGGCAAATATTCGACCCAAAAAATAAAAAAAAATATCAAATTAATATAATAAATAAATATATTATTTACTATAATGAAGAAATTTTTTATACATAAATAAAAAAACAAATTTTTATAAATAAATGAAAAAATTACCAACTTTAAGAAATTGATGATTTTGTAGGTTTTTTTGTTCATCAAATAATTAATAAAATAATATTGAACAAGAAAACTCCATTTTTTTTATCGAAAATACGATTTTTTCATTCCGATAGTTATGTCCTTCTCTAGCGCGTGGTGCCGCCTATAGTGCTGTCTCGCTTAGATACACGGGACCACTAAAATGCGAAAAAATCATATAAAAAAAAATCAGCGCACTTTCGTTTTTGGGCACATTTTTTCTACAGGTCATTACGGATATTTTGACATTAGAGAATTAAAAATTGCCCTTTGTACAAAAATTTTCAAGACAAATGGAGCCAAGCCTCCTATATTGACTGGACTAATATAATAAAAGTTAATCCTCATGGCGTCCTGTCGAGACGTCGAGACCCTTCGACAAAAATTTCCCAGACCCTCCATAGTATTAAAATTTACAATTTTCTTATCCTTAAAGTTATTGTATTCAATTCATTGTGATCATAGATTGCATTTTGAATTGGGTACAAAGAATTTATGTACTGTCGAAAGACTCGACGTTGACCTCTTCTACCTAAATATATTGACCCTCTTTTACTACCATTTACTTCATAATCCAAGCTTTAATTATCAGAATCATTAGCATTCTTCAAAGTTATTTTTAATTATGTATGTTTCAACTGTTCTTTAATGGACTAAAATGTACACTATCTTTAGAGTAATTCTAAAAATAGTAAATATTTTTTTTTTTTTGGTATTTGAAAATATGTAAGAGGAAAAGTTTTTTTATGATACAAAAGATTATTTGAACTGTAAAAATTTTTTATCAAAATTTTTCAGTTTAGAAGGATATCTCTTCTATTTTCTTACTAATTATATTAGAATGTTTAAAGATAACAATTTGTAGTACAAAAAATTTTTGTAATGAAATATCCAAGTTTTAAATGATAAATTTATTTCCATACCAATTGAAAGAGTACTTATTAAAAAATACTTAATTGAATTCTTATCAGTAACTGATATTAATTCAATTTATTCTATATACTTTATTCGTTTGAAAGATTTTTTTTAGCATATTCAAATAATACTTCTTGATTTTTTATTCATTTCTGATAATTATTAAAAATGATGAAATATTTACCAACTCTCAATCAATTTTTTTTTTAAAGAACTTTTTTCTTCTGTACTTATTTGAGTTTAACTCTGAATTGATTTTATGTGAAACTCTTATATAAAAATTTAATAGGAAAATGAGAATTATTTTCCGAAGTTTGATCGATAAATCGTGATGTCAAGTTCTCCTGTGATATGAGATAACGATAATAACGATATTAATAATAACAATTCTTCACAAAAGTCATTATGGTTGATATCATGAACATATACAATTCATCGTAAAAAGAACAATAAAATGTATTGATATCAAGTGTTCAACTTTAATGGACAGATCAATTATTGAAAACACACCTAACCTAGATATTGAATATATTGCAGTATCCAAAACATAATAAAATAAATTATTAAAAAATAATAATATATCTTACCAAAAGTTAAAACATGTGTAACAGTTTCGTTAGATTCAGCCAAATTATCATGAGTTTGTGGAAGTGGGGCTGCAGGTCGAGGTGGAAGGGGTGGCTGCATGACATTCTCCATCCTTTTTTTTCTTTCTTTATACTCGAGATTTTGCTCTTCGCTCTTTTTCTAACACTAGTGTGTCAGTACTGACACTTTGGAGCACACGTCCGGTATGTTTGATGGATTTGATCCTCTTCCTACCGGACTTGCTCCAGATTAAACACTATTTTTACATAATCCTTGAGTGTCATGCACCGGCATCTCCTTTAACAAGAGTCTAAACATTAGAAAAACACGTCGTCAACAGGAAATTTCACTTAACTGGTCTATTTTCATATGATATTTATTTTTCACATGACCACAAGTGAATGTTTTCCTCAATTATGAGCTTGAACTTCATTAACATCACCATTACTTGATAAATTTACTTTAATTATCAATATAGAAAAAAATGAATGCTCACATTAACAACCATAACATGATGATTGTCTTGGTAGACTGATTTTTCGTTTTTTTCTTGTCCTTCAGCCCGATTATTTAGTTTCTTCGCGCCTGTGTACGACGCAATTGGTCGGTTAGTTACTTTGAAAACTCGACTGACAACCTACCGCCTTGTTGGTCATATCAGGGCCGCGGATTCGAGAATTCTATGTAGAGATTTTTCGATGAGATTCTAGGTGGCGGCGCCACTAGTTTAATAATCTATGTTAGATATTTAATCTCATTAATTTACTATTTTATTATTCTTATTGAATATTACCTTATTTATATTGACGCTTAACTTTCCACCCCTCAATCGATATTATCCGTTCATCGAATTCTTTGTTTGCCTCATCCAATTCACTTATATCACTATGAAACCTATTGAGAAAAAATCTTTAAACTTGTCATTTACTCATAAATATTAAATATCATTGAATAAATTTCTTAGAACAAAGGAATGATACAAATCTCAGAAATATTTTTATATACAATTATTAATAAAATGATATAAATGAGTCTCATCTTTTAAAAGACGACAAATAAATTTTATGCTCACCTTCATCACATGCAAATTTGAAATAAATAGGTGCAAAATTATTTTGAGACTATAACTTTTATTATTTCATACTTCTTTGATGCTATTATTAAATTGAAAAATATTTTTGATCTTTTCGTGTCAATAACTCTCTGCCGTTGATGATTTCATCTTCCATTCTAAGAATCAGAATAATAATGATGCTTGTAAGATGCAATTGTATTTGAATTAAAATGGAATTGGCCAGTTATACCTTCATTTAGTGACAATCGATATAATTTTGTTTACCAAGGAGTTTTATAACAGTCGCAATTTTTGGATGACGATTAAATACAGCGTAATCTTAGTTATATTAAAACATTATTTCTCTGTATAGACTCACCATTGGAGTTAGATGATGTATCTTATTTCCAATTTTCGAAAAAATTTATTATTTTTTATGTAACTTTGATGAAAAATACTAAAAATGCATAAGACTGCATTTTCTACTGCCAACATGGTAGCCATCTTGTTCCAAACATTACTCTAGCGCTCGTAGCGGATATTTATTGAACTAAAATATTTCTATTTTATCGACTAAGTTTAAAGCGCAATAATTTAAAAAAATAAATAATTTCATTTTCTATTGATACATAACAAATAATATGTTACGAAGCGATTATTCATACTTTATCATAATATTTCCATCATAATGAGTGAAGATTATTATTAATTTGAATAACCCTGACATATGTACGTAAAAGTACGTGCTACGAGTTCGCAATACATGAACCTCGAACTACTTATCATCATTCCATTCACTTTCTATCTCTTTCTTTCCTTATACGTTGAAAGAATTACAAAACGATAAAAAAATCTGAATCTCATAAAAAAATATGACCACAAGAAAAACTATAAATATTAAAACACCTTGAAAAGAGAAAAGTGACTAGAAGATAAAGATTCAATTATTTGTCTTCACAGTCATCAAAACACTTCAACACAGTGTTTCTTATTCATTTTTAAATCTATTTAAAAGCAAGCAAACTCAGTTTTACAATAATGTTGTCAAAGATTTTGCCTTTCTGGAGTCAATACTTTCATTACATAATCTTTGCTCTCATTTCTTATTGTGCTTTAGTAAACTTTATTTCAAAACGTAAACATTTATCCTGTAAACAATAATCAATTAGTTGGAAAAGAAATTAAAGATATAGATTCAAACGAAGAAGAAGAAGAAGATGAAGATGAAGTAGAAAATGAGTCAGCTTTACCGAATGATTTGGAGCACATTCCTTTCGCATATGTCAGACCAAGTGTGGAAGATTTGAAGAGACGTGCTGAGGAATTTTACAAGTTAGCAAATGCCAGACGGACTTTGAGATTCTTCAGTTCAGATCCTATTCCAAAAACTGTTATTCAAGACATTATTCGAGCCGCTGGTAAGCACACTCATGTAATATAATCCATCATGTACCTGAATGATTTTATTAATTAATTCTGGATGATTAGGTACTGCACCTAGCGGTGCTCATACTGAGCCTTGGACTTTTGTGGCTATTTCTGATACAGAAACTAAAAAACAAATAAGAAATATTATCGAAAAAGAAGAAGAAATAAATTATCGAAAACGTATGGGTAAAAAATGGACAACTGACTTAAAACCGTTAAAAACTAACTGGATTAAAGAATATCTTACCACTGCTCCATATTTAATACTTGTTTTTAAACAAAAATATAGTATCCTTCCAAATGGAAAGATTAAAACTCATTATTATAGTGACATGAGTGTTTCAATTGCTTGTGGAATACTCATTACTGCTATTCAGGTAGCTGAAGATTTCATTTTAATAAATTTAACATATGGGTGAATCTTATGCTCTAAAGAATAAATATGTTTCAGTATGCTGGACTTGTTACTCTCACTTCGACCCCATTAAATTGTGGGCCTGCCATTCGAGCACTGTTAGGAAGACCTTTACATGAAAAATTATGTCTTCTTCTACCAGTTGGATATCCAGCAGATGATGCAACTATTCCCAAGCTTCAACGAAAACCATTATCTGATATACTAATCGAAATATAACTCAATTTATATAAAATTATGTGAAACTCTTTTTAGAAACTAATTTTATTAGCAATTTGCATACAATTACTTAAAATAAGCAGTATAAAAATTCAATTTTGAATCATCATTGGAACCAATCTAAAGACAATTCATCAATGTCAGTTAATTTTTATAATATTGATAACGGTGATTTAATTTGTAATTTATTCATTTCATTATTATGCAATTCCATGCAATTTATTTTGAATATCGAGCAACCAATCACATTATGATCTAAATTAAGTACAATTTTTTGTATAAAATAGAAAAATACTGAGTTGCACAACAATTTAAAAATTAAGAAGTTAAAAATATTTCAAGAATAAAGAAAAATTATTTCGTATTTAAATAGTATTAAAAAATTTTTTCTCTCTGTCATTCTCTTCTCCATTCTCTTGGCTAATATCAAGTGATCTTTCCATCAGTTAAAAAAACTTTGATTAAAAAAACTACATAATTATCGCAGAATGATTTTCCATACATTTACAATGTAAAAGCTGCCAATATCATAATACATTATATAAAAGAGGTATTCTCTTATCTATTTTGGCTCATTTATTTATTCATTTTTTTTTATAAGATAGTAAATATTAATCAATTATTATTCCTTTTTTCAGTTTTTCATTAGTATTATAATTACTCTTATTTATTTAAATATTTATTCTTTACAAAGTTAATTATAAAGTGAAATGAATTAAATTCAATTGAAAGTCAAATAAATTTAAAAAAATATCATTTTCCTTCTTATTGTTATTATAGATTATCATTAATAATTAATATATCAATTAATAAATTTTACAATTATTCAAAGCAACTATTCACATCTGCAAAAATTAAGCACTGATCAAATGTTGAAACTCTGAAATTTTCTTTTCTAGAAAGTATTGTCGTATCTATAGTACAATCGGCTATTTTTCAGTTTCACTATATTGTCCATATTTTTTAGACCATATTTAATAATTAATTAATTAGTTATTAACTTTTATTATGTCACGACAAATCTTGAAAGACGTTATAACGGTTTCGATTGATTTGCGAATCAGTCTCCATCTCTGGCTACAATAATAGTCATTATACATTTAAAAAAAAATCCTAATTATGCATCAATTAGTTATTTATTCATAAAGACTTTCAATCACTTAATTTTAGCTTTTATTCATTTACTGATGCTCTATGGACACTTTTTCATTTTTACTGAATTGCTTAAAACAATTGATCAATTCGATCTAAGAAGTATCATCATTTATAAAACTTTACAATATCAAGATATTACAAGATAAATTACTTATAGTTCTGAGATCACCAGCGCCTGAGACGTAATTATAATCACGAATAGCGTGAAACTGATAATGAATTCATTTCTAATATTTTTCACAATATCAGTGGACAATAAACATAAAAAATTTTTTTAAAAAATTGAGTAAAAAAATACAGACAAGGAGAAGAACGCGCGATGTTTAAAAATAAAAATAATCCAAATATAAAGAAATAATAAAAACACAATTCTCTCTTGAAATGATATACACTCAAATAAAACTCTGAATATTCAAGAGTAGACAGAATAGAGAAGAGGCCTTGTGCGAAGGATCTGTCGCAGGAACTTGATTGAATATTACCGCGCGTCCAAGTATGGCCATCAGCACCCACATAATTTTTATTTTATTATTTTTAATAAAAATTTATCTTCTTGAGGTTTAATCTCTCCGATGAAACTCGGCTATGCACAGACGACACGACCAGGAGCCCTCAGGAGGAGCTGCAAGGGGCGGGGATAGACAATACATGTGGTATCCACGATCACAGTCATCACAGAACAGCAACTGAGCCTAGTACGATAGGCCAAACATATTAGATCATTTTCATTGATAGTTGCCTCCACTATTAATTCATTTACTTGATGGGTTTTGTATAAAAATAATTTTAATTTATTCATAAAAGACACTGTGTTATAATTCATAGGTTGATAGTTTAGAAAACATATGCCTTTTATAGAACAAATCAAAGAGGAAAAGAATTATTATACTCACGTCATTGTCTGATGTACCACATATGGAGCAACATTTGCATTCGATACATTGCCACCTGTACTTACGTACAGATACGATCATATTTGCAGTAAATTGTAAACACGTTGGATGTCCTATAACAAGAATGAATTTGGTCAAGGATGATACAGGACATTTGGAGCTTGGAGAAGACTTGACTGGACGACTAACGGAAAGGTGCCAGGACATTTATCTTGTGCCGAAGAACAGTGAACTCCAAGCTATCGTTTTCTCTTTTCATTAATTATTTAGACTTAATTTTTTTTTTTCGACAATAAATTTTTTGAATTTTAATTGAAATAATTTTGACCAACCGGATTACTCAAAATGTAAATTGTCAAATAACTTGTTTCAATTATCAGTACACAGATGGTGATCCCTGTGTCATAAGATAATTAGAATTTAATGAAATAATTAAGCCTAAACGCGATCAACTGTGTCTTTCACCTTTCCTCAGCACTAAACGTCCGGAATAATGAAACGCTATCATATTTCCGCACAAAGTATTTTTATTTGATGATTTTTCATTTAAATTATCTTGCAATAATTTATTATTAATTAAATCATTATTTCAGTTCGTATTGATTTTCTTTCTGTTTGACGTTGCGTTTTTGGACAATCCGTTATTTTCATTTGGAGTAATAGATGGTAAAATATATAGCAGGGCGTACCTTGGAATAGTTCACGTTCTTTCTTGCGCAGCACAATATAAACGTCGCAAATCACACTCTCTCCTTTAGCACACTCAAATAATTTTTTAAATTCATTTAATTATTAATTATCTAATCGTCATGTCTCTCACATACTCCAATTTTTCTTTCATTAATTCAATAGCTCATAATTTTTCGTTTAACTAATTACTACTTATAAATTACAAGTTGTTTTTTCGCTAAGCCCCTTTAAATATTGCTTAATAAAAATTTCCTAATAACAATTCTTCATTGTAACAACTAGAGAAGAATTTTTTTCATGAGTTATTTACAATGATTTGAACATTTAAGCCAATAAAAAAAGTATGCTAATTAATATGTTATTTGATATTGTGATTAAAAATTTTCTGGTTTCATTTTTTAAATAAATTAGAAAAACAATACTGAAAAATTCTTCTCTCAGTGTATAGTTAATATTAACTTTCTCTATTTATAATTTTCCATTGAGGAACTATCTTCATACTTGGTTCTTTTTGTATTTTAATTTAATTCGTTATTCATCATTTAATTTTGTCAAATATACTTCAAAATTTTCCTGTTAAAAACAGAGAGGCATTCTTGCATGTATACATACATTTTGTCAGGCAAGCTCTTGTATATAATACAATTAAAAATTTCATTTGATTCCCGTTACAGTTTTATGTTATTGAAATACAATCTGAGGCCCCTAAATATGGCTGTGATATATTTTTTGTCAATTTTATTATTCGGCGTAGAATTTCCTAATTTTGATGATATCCCAGTAATTTTTATTGAAAAAATATATAATAAAATTAGTTTAAAGAATATACATATTTTGAAAAAAAAAGGAAATACCCTAAAAGCAATTGGCAAAAGCTTATAAGAAGATCAGAATATTTAATTTGTAAATAAAATAAAATTTTCGCGAGAAAAAATATTCTTTTACATCTATTAAAGCTCGTAGAAAAATTTTTTTTTTCTATTTTTATACATAGAAATATTATTTTTTTACATTTCTTTCTTTTGATATTAAAGTCTTGATAAAACAAATTCATGAATATTAGCTTTTCAAAAGTACATCTAGTTATATTAAAGAAAAGCTCTTAAAGAGAAAATAATGCCCAATATATATTCAATAAAATAACAAACGTAATGAACAATTATAAAATAATACTACGGAAAAATACTTCTGTTTGTTAACTAATATTAAAGTTTCATTTAAAATCAATGTATCAGAATTTGATTTTTAATTTTTTATCATTTTTAAAAAATGTCAAATATAATTTATCGATAAAATAGTACAAAGTTCAGTTCATTCAATGTTCTAGCTTTGTATATTTATCAATTTTTTAATTTTTTTTTCTTATAAAAAATTTCTACCTTATAACTAATAAATTGTGTTAGAATAAATCACAGTTATATTTTTCATTTACGAATTGTTATTTCTTTTTCATTGATTTTTTTTGCTACTTGATAATTTCTATTTTTAATTGTAATTTAATTTTTCTTCCTCATAATAAGAAATAATAGCTAAAGTAATAATTAATACTCAGAACAGATTGCACTAATGACAAAGTAGTATTTTGATCTTGCTTTGACTAGTGTCTAGTTTATATGATTGATCATTTGAAATTTTTTTATAAAGCTCATAGTCATTTTTTATCTAATAATATCTATTGAAACTTTATGCAAAATTCAACACAAAAAATAGACTATTCAGTCTACAGAATTAATCAATAATTAAAAAGTGAAACTATCAAATGAAGACTGACACACAATAAAATGGAGTACTCAAGAAATAGAACAGCATTATGGAGATAATTTAAAAAAAAAAAAAAACTCAACGAAATAGAGAAAATTAGGAAGATCTTTGAATGAATTAAGGCAGTTTGATCATCTAATTACATTTTGATGATTAAACTATTTTACGAAATGATGATTTTATACTACAATGTTTGTAAATGTGATTAAATATTGATTAATATCAAGAAATAGAAATAAATTGACCAGTAGGGTAATTGTTTCATACTAATCAAGTATGATAGAAAAATATACAAGTAGTAAAAATATTCTTCAGTCATATGAGAAAGAATAAAAGAAAAAAATATTCTTCAGTTAGTATTCTTATGATATATATAATTTTCTCTACTATTTGAAATAGTTTAGAATAACATGTAAATTGGAAAGAGTATGATGAATAAGTGATTAACAAGTGCTTCTGTCACAACAACTCATGTGAGATGAGATAATTAGCTTTCTAAATAAACTGGTGGAAGCAATAACAGTTGATAATACTATTAAATGATTTTTTTTCCTATATATGCTCACACTAGTCTTCCACGATCTAAGACCATACACTTCTGGATCAAAATCAGGAAGACGAAGAGAAATTGAACGAAATATTGGATGAAAATGAAACGTAACAAGTCTCAATAAATATAAGAATCGAAATGAATGAAAAAGACTATTGAATAATAGATTTAGTTATTAATTATGATTGGCTCTTCTTGTGTACTTGCGCTTTTTGTCCTCAATCTTACCTGAACGACCGCAATCACTGCAAGAGACCAATTCCTCGGATCCACCTGTCTTTTTATTCTCCCTAGCATCTCCAAGACAGAAATCACAATAGGGTGATGGTTGAGCAGCTCTACCAGACTTCTTATCCTGGACTTGTCCTTGAGTATTGGAATTACCAGTGATGATCCCACCAACACCACCAGCACCTGCGATGTCTGGCCTTAATGCTGAAGGAGATGAGGCGATGGCACCAGGCGACGCTACTGATGGCAACTGCTGCTGCTGATCTTCCTTAGGAGCTGAGACAGTAGGTGAGAGTGGAGTGGCACTCGTCTGAACCTGCGGCGGCAGCTGTTGCTGCTGCTGCGGCTGAGGCGGTGCCCCGGCAGCCGGGGTCGTGCTTGCCACGGGGGAGGGACTCGAGGTACTCGAGGAGGCAGTTGTGCTCTGTCGACCCCGACGTGTACCACCTAATCACAAACCGACCACATACCCAGTTGCGCTTTTTGTCACTATCCAACAACCATGCACACTGGATTATTCCACAATAAATTTTTATATTTAGTTTAGCTCTCACACTCTCAACTGCTTCCTCTTGCTCACACGCTCTCATTCTTTTTTTTTTGCAATTGATTCTGTTGTTCTAGCTTTAGACCATCTATTCATTCATATTTATTTTTTAAATAATAAAAATTATTAATTCATTTTTAATTCAAGTATTAAACAATCTGTTTTTCAATTATATAAATCTAAAAATATTTTCTCTATTACTCTGAATGATGATGAACATAAAATGTACAATTTGAATTGATTAGTTTTTGAATGAAGATGTTCTAATATTGTACTTTAAGGTACAAAATTATAAAACAAAGTAAAACAATGATTTCCAACAGAATCAATTATTTTTACAAGCAGGAACGACCCCACTGACACGATATTTATTTAAGAAAGAAATAATGCAAACTATGAGTAAGAAAAACATTCCATCACCAACACCAATGTTAATATAATAATCATAATAATATTATAATAATAGTGAATAAATCCCAAATTCCAGTATCACTTAAAAATTCTAAATGCATTGTATTACTGTTATTAAGTCAAACTTTTTATTAATAATGCGTAAATCAGGCAAGCGACTTGCAGTTTAAGTCGTTTTAATAATGTATTATGTTTTGTAATGTTTCTTTCGATAAAATAAAAAAACGTGCTCGAAGCATTCGGCATTCGCGTGCAAAATGAAATCAACTCAGTGCCTCTAATATATATATATGTAATAAATATAAATATGAACATGTGTCAACATTATATAAGTTATACAAGAAAGCAATTGAAGCAATTGTTTATTGTATTTTTTTTGTTGTTTTTTGTTTTCTTAAATCTATAAAATTGTCTCGTTGCATCCATTGATCATAAAAACTACCTAAAACATGCTTGCAAATATTTTCTAAAAAATAAAATAAAAAATTTAATAATAATAATGATAATAATAATGATGAGAATATATAATATGTTACACACACATACTTTTGTTTAACGCTCTTTTTTTCAAAAAAGTTAAAAATAAAATTTAAATAAAATAAATAAATAAACTAGGAAGACTTGGAATGAATTGTGGAAGGCTTTTGTATTTTTTTTTTTTTTTAAACTTTTAAATAATGACTTTAAAAAAAGAAAAGAAATATATATTATACGTAAATATATGTATATATATATATGAAATATATTGTGCGGCATGCCATTGCAAACTAAATCGTTATAAACAAAAAAATAATAACGCATTAAAATTTCTCACAATGTGTATGCTCAAAGACTGGCCGAGTGGTTTTCATTATAAACGCGATTTTCCCCTCATTCGTATCTTGTTATCTGGTACGACTTCCAGATATCGAAGGCATCTCGATTATATTCTGCGGAAATACACGAGAGAAAAAAGAGATATGGCTTCCATATGTTAAAAAAGTATTTGGTATTTTATCGAGGGGACTTTTTTTTTCAATAATAATTAATAACAATCAATAATAATTAATTATAATAATAAGAATCATAATTAATTAATTAATATTAATCAATAATAACGATAAGTAATGAATGTAATAATAATAATAATGATAATAATTATAATAGTACGGAATTTAAAAAAAAAAAAAAAATATTATTAATGTAAAAATTCTTTGGTCAGTGAATGCAACGTGATACTTAACAAGCGTCTAATGAAAAACAAAAGTAAAAAAAAAAAGAAAACAAAAAAAATAAATAGAGACAATCGTATGAACACAAAGATCAAAAGTACATGTATAGAACAATTAAAAATTAAACAGTATATTGTTTGCAATGCACACGTTTACATATTCTCTTTCTCTCTGCCTCTCTCTCCCGCTCTTTAGATTCCAATTTTAAAAATTTTATTGATTTTTTTTTATCCAAAAAAACTCGAATACTTTTTTTTAAAAATTTTTTACTTTTTTAATAATTTTATCTTTTTCAACAAATTTATAAATCTCTTAAAACTGGATGGTTGCATGAGCAAAAAAATCATGATGATTTTAAATAATGTATTAATGTATTCCATTAAAAAAAGAAAAAAAAGAAATAAGAATTAGTGATCAATTAATTTATGAATTAATCGGACTGTTGGACTAAAAACAAGGAAGAGAGATCGAATTTTTTTTGCTTATTTTTTTTTTGCTTAATTTTTTTTGTCTTATAGAGAGAAATATCTTAAAGGAAACTGCGATAACTGAGCTGATTTTGGGTCCAACCTGGCTGGTCCGAAGCAGCGGTGTCTGCAACGCTCCGTGATTCGACTTCGGCAGGACTGGGACTTAGTTCCTTAGCAGGATCACCAGAGGAAGTAGAGTGGGAATGACTGTAATGGTAGACCAGACCAGGTCTGGTTTTATACCGTGCGCCGCATACTGCAAAAGTGCAAATACTATTTTCCCCCAAACCATCCAATGCAAAAATTTTTTTTTTTGTCTTTTTTGTTTAATTGTTTCCTTTGTTAAGAAATTAAATTTAAATTTAAATTTAATAAACTGATTAAAACAATGGAAAAAAATTAAAAAAAATTATTTTGGAAAATAAGAAGAATAAATGAATTAAAAATCGGGGGGTAATTAAGGGTGGGATTTTTATTGACAAAGCTCGAAGAGGTTTTCGAAGAGAGCGTTTGCACACCGTTTTCTTTCTTTGATTTTTTTTTTTTGGTTTGTTTTTCTTTTGCCACTAGTACACATCCCTATCCACCTAAGTAAAATGTTCTATATGTGGACAAGCAGTGAAGGAAATTATCAGCCCAAAAAGCAAAACTAATACAATGCAAGGCTTGAGATGCTTCGTAATACACCTACTGTATATCAGCTCGCTACAGAGTGAACCTATCGCATTCTTGTATTTATTTTTATTTTATGTAATAATTATCTTTTATTAATTGTCTTCAACTTGTCTTTATTAAAATTGTTTATTGTTATTAGAAAAAGAATGGTTTCGATAACTCCGAAGATATTTGGCCCATTTCAATAAGCTGATTTTAATGAATATTACTAATATTTACTTCATCAACGACTGATCTATTCGGTTACTTGATTTAATATTAATTTTGTTCTTTGGTTTAAATTCATTGACTGTTTGCGATCAATTGAAATAATATTACTTGGAAATAATTAATCTAATAATTGTAAAATAATCTCGTGGTTAAATTTCAAATTTAAGCTGTCAAGAGCTTACTTTCTCTAGACCAAATGTCTTTAGGTGCTCTGCTATTATAACAAGACTTGTACGAAGAATTAAACAGATTGGCAAGCACATACGAGTTAATCTATAAGGACTTTACTTTTTTTAAGGGGCAGAAATAAAGTTAATTAATAGTAATTACTTATTAGTGACTGTTATTGATCTTCGAGAAATTCAAGATGAGTTAATTAATAAACTTCATTCATTTTTCTTCTCTGCTTTTCCATTTTTGATATCACTACCAACTAATTCTTTGTTTTATCAAAATATTAAATATTTTTATGATTTTACTATTCACTTGCGCCCTAGTGTACGTTAAGTAATTGAACAATTGATTTTTATAAAAGAAAAATGGTTTAAATTAATGATATTATCTAACAAAAATTTTTGGGCATTCATTTGATAATCAAAACTCGAAGAAAAATTTCAGCCACTGATTATACGAATTAAAATAAAGAGAGAAAAGATAAACAATACGGAATGCAAGTTAATGGAAACCTATGAGAGGAAAAAAAGTTCCTCGTGTCATTTTACAAGTGGATGACCGCTTCCTGTCGTAACATTAATCAATACTCAACGTTTCGACTTGCTCTTTTAAATTTTTACACTACAGTCAATTGAATTAATTGTGTGATCGAGCTTTCATCTTATTACCTATATGATCATTATTAAATATATATGTATAACGCGATTAAATAATTATAAAAATATAATTGTCAAAAATATAACATTTTCCTTTTTTTAAAACGCTACGCGTTAATCTTTGTGGCTTTAGTGGAAATAATAAGTGGTAAAGTGAATAACAATAATTTGCAAAAATGGAACGAGTAAGTAAGAAAAAAAGTGGTCATTTGTAGTTGTATCGATGATTAAACTTACGGTCACATACGAATGGTTTATCCGAATCCGCAACATCATAATTGGCTTTTTTCCGTCCCCGTCCACCACCCTAGATGATAACAGAAAATAAATGTTAAATAGATGCGATAAAAAAGCACATTGTAATAACCATTATTAGAAATCATTATTTACTTTTGTTCTTTTGGTCCCTGGGCTGTCGGTGGTTGGCGGATGACTTCTAGCTGGATGGTGTCCACTCCCTCGAGGTCTTCTTCGTTTTCTTTTACTGCTGTAGCTTTCTTCATAATCATAATCACTATCTGGATCTTGTTCCTCAAATGCATCTATGTCTAACATATCTTGTTCATCATAATACCAAGCATCTTTGCTATGCTCATCTGCAGAATTAAGAGAGTTATGTTAATCTTTTACTTAAGAAACAAAAAACATATGATTAAAAACATAAAGATGTTGTTAAAAAATTGTATAATTATTATAGTATGAAATACAAGAGTAAACGTTGACAAAACTTTCGCAGCGAACTAATATCGACCGGCGTCTGGAATTCCTACCTTTCAGCGCCGCCGACTCTTTGCTATCATCATTCATGCCAGCTACAATGCCATCAGGTCCCTCAATTCCCTCATCTAAATCGCCACGAATTCCACGTTTTGGATGTAAATAATGCATCAGGTACTGACGTCGCTTCTTTCTCCATCTTTTACTAGGATATGTATATATTTGGCCATGTAATAATCCAGGCATACGCTCTCTCGACGACATGAACAACGCCGAATGATTCTGAGCGACTCCTGACACAAAAAAAATTGTCCGAAATTCTTTCACTATTAAGATTTACCCGTGAACTATTAAATATAATTTTTACATTTATTTTAAAATAATCTTACCTGTTTGGGAATCTAAAAAAGGCATCCGCAGTCTTCGTTCTCGACATAATCGGCTATTATAAGTTGATGAATTTTCAATGGCTTCCCTGTACGCTGTATCGTTGAGAAAGCTATACACAGAGATGATCAATGTTAGCTTAGAAAAGGGAGACTTAAGTACATGTAACTGACCTTTCAATTTTACTAAGATTTGCTTCATTTACTACTTGGATTATTGAATGAGACGACGGTAGAGCTACCGCCGTCATTTTGTTTGCCCAATTGATCCTGGGAAATTTTAAAAACACGTTATTTAACAAATATTCAATTCTTTAGGTGCGGCAGACAACATAGCGTAAAGGACCACTGTCGAGTCGATGTTTCTCCCTCCAGTGAGAAAATGTCGCGCATGCGCAATAGCTGTTACTACGGGAGTCAAATAGATCTTGATTTAAAAAAAAATGGTCTAAGTAATTAATCAAAATTTTTCTTTCACTCCAAAATTAATAAAAAACTTATAAAAAACATAAATTTAATAATATATAGTCTTGAACAATTTTCTTTTATTTTTATTCCATTTTCATATTAGAAAAATTACTTTACATTCTATTGTGACATCATTTATTTTTCTGCTCCAAAATAAATTTAAAATTGAGAGCGACTGTAATTTATCATTGATTATTAATACAATCAATAAAAAGCTAACAAATGCAATAATAAAGTTCATTTGAACTTTTTTGAAGGAATTACCTTGTAAGAAAAAAAATACTCAGTTATAGTGTATGGAAATAATAAATAATAAATTATTACAAGCGGTATTCATTAAAAATTGACTTCACAGTTGCGATCCTTTGTCTCCTTAAAGATTGTGAATTTTTTGATTAATTCATCAATGGTTATTTCACCATGAACTACGTTATCTCTCGTTCTTACATTCACTGTACCAGCAGTACGTTCTTTTTCTCCTACAACTATAAAAAGAAAATTTTGGTAATTTAATATTTATTTTCAATAGAAAAATTAATACTGTTTAATTTTTTTTACCTAGAATAAAGTTAAACTGCGCTAATTGAGCGTTTCGTATTTTTTTATTCATTGTATCACTGTCATCAATGTCAACTTCAGCCATAAATCCAGCATTCCAAAGTTTCTCTTTCACTTGGAATGCATAATCATCGAACATAGGACCAACTGGAATGACCATTACTTGTCTTGGAGATAACCAAAATGGCCATTTTCCTGCGTAACTTTCAGTTAAGATAGCAATCATACGTTCTACCGATCCTAAAATTGCTCTGTGGATAATAACTGGCCGTGTTTTCTCTCCATGTTCACTAAAAAAACACAAGTAAATATTAAATACGATTTAAATACATATATAATATAGTTTGAACAAATTTTAATAAACTTACTTAATATAAGATAAGTTGAATCTTATTGGTAATTGGAAATCAAGTTGAATTGTAGCACACTGATGAGATCTTTTTAAAGCATCAGTAATAGTAATATCAATTTTAGGACCATAAAATGCTCCATCTTGAGGATTAATGGTCCAAGGTTCACCAAAAGTGTCTAAACTATCAGCTAGGGCTTTTTCTGCTTGATTCCACATTTCAATGTCTCCTAAAAATTTCTCTGGACGTGTAGATAAGCAAAGTTTGAAAGTAAATCCAAACACTGAATAAACGCACTTTAAGAAATCAAGAGCTCCAAGCATTTCATCTTTGATTTGATCATGAGTACAGAAAATATGAGCATCATCTTGTTGGAATCTTCGAACTCTTGTTAAACCAGTGAGAGCACCAGAAAGCTCATTACGATGAAGAACACCAAAGTCCGCCATTCTCAGAGGAAGTTCTCTCCAAGAACGATTACGAACATCAAAAATCATGCAATGTCCAGGACAATTCATTGGCTTCAATGCATAAGTATCTTTTTCTACTTCAAATGAAAACATGTTTTCAGCATAATGTTGCCAATGACCTGAAGTTTGCCATAACTTGACATTATAAATATTTGGAGAAACAACTTCTTGAAATCCTCTTTTCTTATATTCTGAACGAATGAACTCAATAAGAGTATTATAAATATGAGCTCCACGTGGCTGGAAAAAGCAAGAACCTGGCGATAGCTCATGGAAAAAGAAGAGCTCCTGTTCTTTACCAATTTTACGGTGATCTCGTTTAGCTGCTTCTTCTTGGAATTTTTCCCATTCTTTCAATTGTTTAGTATCTGGAAAGCTAATTCCATATACTCGTTGTAAAGTTTCTGCATTGGCATTTCCTTCCCAAAAGGTGGAAGAATTTTTAGTAACTTTAATTGCTTTGACCTTTCCAGTATGTCTAATATGAGGTCCACGACAAAGATCAATTAATGGACCACATCTATAAACTGTAGTTGTTGGAGTATTGACTTTTTCTTTCAAGATTCTCACTTTGAATTCATTATACTTGAACATCTCCAATAAATCTTCCTTCGTCATTTCTAGTCGTTCAAATGGTTGCTTTTCTTTGACAATAGTCTTGTAGAGAGATTCAAGATATGGAAAGTCTAAATTAGAAATTCCTTTGTCACCAAGATACATGTCATAATAAAAGCCATTCTCAATTGGTGGACCGTAACACAAACATCCACCATAAACTCTTTCCATAGCTTCTCCTAGAATATGTGCACTGGAGTGCCAGAAAACTTGTTGACCTTCAGTACTATCAAATTTAAGCAATTCCAATTTGCAATCACCTTCCAATGGTCGATCCAAATCCCAGAGTTCATTATTTACTTTAGCTATCACCGTATTGTCTGCTAGACCTTGACTGATATTTTTGGCAATTTCATATGGAGTTGTACGCCATGCTTGTGCTGGAACTTGCTTACCATCCGGAAGAGTTACAGTAATATCGACAACCGGCTTTGCGGCGAGATCTGCTTCGTATTTAGCTTTTAATTCATTCCACAGCTTGATACGATCCTACAAAAATAGTTTTTGTCAATCATTTAATATTAAAATTTAATTTATTTTTCAAAATGTGAAAATCATTACCAAACAACAATAATAAAATGATACTTACTTGAATATATGCCGGCCATGGGTTCAGCTCTGATATATTGCTTTTCTCTTTTTTTTCTTTTCCTTTCATTTTTGCCTATAATAATAAGAAGATATTCAATTATTATAACTGTGCATATACATACTGAGAAATTATGCTGATGATTGACGATAAATTTTTTGAGGTTACATCAGAAAATCGATTACACATAGAGGTTATAATAAAACCGAATTATTTTATTGAAGTTAAAAATAGTTATTTACTATTGACACAGAATTTAATGAAAATAATCTTCAGGTAATTTAAATCATGGATAATAAAAATTGCATATATTGTAACCAACCCAAGCATTTTTCCATCTAACACAGCTCTTAATACAACCTCTGTATCGCAATATGGACAGCATTATTAATGAAGTATAAAAAATATTTAGAAAAATTATTTATAAACGAAAAAATACTATTCTTCGTGCCTTTTCATCCTGGATACCAAGATTTTCAACAGCAGTAATTACGTCCTGGCTCATGATGTGGTTTTAAATAATTTTTACTTATTTCTGACACAAAATCACGTCACTCTGGATCACTCACTCAGCTGTATACATATATGTTGTAACCACGTTTACCGCAGTTGCGCTACAGAAGTACCTTGGATGAACCGTTAGATACATCAAGCATTTGAAATAGAGCTTATTAAATTATTAAATTAAAAAAATTTTCGAGAAAAATGCACTTAAACAAAAATTAAATAAATTGGCTTATTCGAAAGGTAATATAGTAATTAATATATAAATGGAACAGTTTACAAAATGTTTATTTATATTAAAAAAATGGCTCTAAGTCTGAATCAATTTTTAATAAAAAAGATAATTATGTCTATTGAAAAATAATTTGACTCGACGCTTTCCTAATTCATTATATGGACACCTTTATTTATTAATTAGAACTTGGGCGATATTTTACTGATACTTTTTACCATCATCAGGCCTGAGTGCAAAATGATCAAGAATTTTACAATTTAATTGATCTACTGTACTGTAGCAGAAGTCTAAAATATTTTCTGCCTTACTCAGAGCTTAGACAATTGTTTTTCTGCCTTAAAGGTTATATAATTAATTTTATAAAAATTAATGATATAAAATACTTAGTATATGTACATAAAAAATTATTAATCACTTTTATTATATTCATTTCATTCTTGATTTTGATTAGGAAGATTGAAGTTAAAAACAAATGGATTATTAGATGTATTTTTGCTAAATAATGATGATAAATTAACAGAATTTTCACTACTAATTTGTTTATGCTCATCATTTGTGCTATTTAATTCATTTGTTTCATGTTTATGGATACTATTAGTGGAATGAGCTTTCCTAACAAACAAAGCTTTCTGATTCTTTTCTTTTGAAGTGGAAAATTTAGCTGTTGATGCAATCTTTCCATGTTTTTTTTCTTCTTGGAGCATTTTCTCTCGATAGTCTCCAAATGTATTCCTCATGATTTGTCTTTTTTGAATCAGAGGAACTGTATTGCTTTTCAATAGATTTAAATTCTTTTGAGTATTTTTTACATGCTTATCAGAAATTTTACCATTTTGAAGGCTTAATTCCAACTGTTGAACACACCAGCATAATTCTAATTCAAATTTATCTTCTGCTTCTGGATCTAAACCACTTGATGATGAATTTTCTTGTAACGTAACTGGCATTGAAACTTGTGGAGGGAATGCTTTGGATGGTAACTTCACTTTTGGAAGCTTTTTCTATTTAAAATCAATTTAATAAATGTATTTATTGACAGTGAAATATATAATTATCAAAGTTATTTACATCTGAATACTCACTGGTCGAGGTTTTGGTGGCATGTTTTTGTGTCTTGGATGAATTTTACTTTATAATATCTATTGCAAATTACACTCCTTATATATTAAATTTACCGGGATCATTAACCTTTTTCTTTATTAACAAATATATCAATTAACTACAATAAATCTCTTTCTAAGTAAAAAAAAAATCTCTAGGAAATCCTTTCACGTGGTTTGTTGTTGTTGATAAAAGATTCTGTTTTATCAACTGTAACTGGTTATTTCAATCAATAAAGTTGAAATCTTTTTTACCGGTTAGAGAGGTCATTTTAGTTTATTGTTTTTACACAACAGCAGCACAGTCACCACATTCCGGGAATTCAAGGATTTGGAAGTTGAACATGTTTGATTGAAAAAAAAAAAACGTTTTTGTTTCATCATAGTTATTTTTTTCAAATGTCTCTTGTTGTTCACAATGTTTAACATATACACTGGAGTGAATGTTAATATATATATATATATATTTATTTATGTATAATGTGTATGTGTAATGAATTCAATTTATACAAACATCCAAAATACGCGAATTGTTTTACAGTACGATAACTATGGGATCCTTCATGTAATAATGAACTATTTATTTTGTGTACTGATTAGTAATATTTACAAAGTTTGTCGTAAAATTTTTATTTAAATTTTTGCGTTCAATATTTCTTCTCGAATGCTTTGGTATGTATTAAAATGATACTCTCACTCTCTCAACCCTTCACTCACCACCACCACTTTTGACTGTACCCTTTCTCATTTTAATTCCAGTTACGCTCATTAACGACTTGCCATGTAGCATTAATTATATTACAACGTTATTTACCATTCTTGCAATTATCGTATTCACCCAACCTGAACCACAACGGCGTCTTCTTATCTCCCATATTACCATGTTCGATACAAGTCAACGTCAAAATTTACATACTACATTCCTTGCTTACCGAATTAAAAAAGGAAAAATAGATTCTTCTATTAATTTCACTCTTTATGAATGTTCTAAAGGTTCATTTTACAAATTTTAATACAGATTATGAGCTGAGTAACACTTTGAAAAGGCAGACTGGGGTGTGAGTGAGAGAGTGAAGTCTTTCTGGCAACTTTACTATGTACATCTGAGGTTTACAGGATGGCACTAGGGACTCCCAGTATCATGATGTAAAGAATCACTGTCGCTCTCGAGATACGTAACGTAACTATCAGTACTGTCTGGATGTTGACCCATATCTGGACCGGAACCTGCACCAGGATGATGAGGCCCAGGTGGAGCAAGTGGTCCACCACCTGGACCACCATTTCCATCATTCATTGGTCCACCCATCATTCCTGGTTGAGATAATTGGGGAGCTGGTCCACCATGGATATCATATCCATGCATCTAAAACAATTAAATATTCATTAAGAACTATTCGATGATCAAGTTCTCACTAATTATAAATTTGCTACATACCTGAGAGACCAAGTGATGAAACGAAGGTGCATTAGGATCCATTCTATCAAGATCTGTATGCAGAACAAAGTCAGACAGAGTTTTCCAAGGTGGTTGATACGCTTGCACTTCCAAAGGAGTCATTCCTATTGGACTTTCATGTCTTACAGGGCTGCTTGCAACCATTGGAATTCCGTGCATACCACCAAAACCAATTTTTCTTCCATCCTGAAATAAAGTCACATACATTGTTAATAATTTATTTAAAACGGCATTTAAAAAGTCAATAATTTTATATTTATCACTTAGCTGATAAAAGTAACTTACAGAAGAAAAAAATATGATCTTTGCAACAGATTAAAGCAAAAATACCTTCTCTTGCTGCATTTGTTGCTTCATAGCAATGGTTTTCTTCTTATCCTTGCAACGTTTATTCTGGAACCAGACTCTGATGACACGCGGACTAAGACCAGTCATCTCAACTAACTGTTCCTTCATCAAAGCGTCTGGTCTTGGATTGGCTGCGTAACAAGTCCTCAATGTGTGTAGTTGCTTTTCATTGAGTACTGTCCGCACTCTTGTCGGTTTACCATCAGATCCGCCACCACCTTTGTGACTTCCGGGACCACGTGCGCTTCCCAGTCCTGCTTTATGCGATCCACTTTCTGATCCAGAATCTGTAAGTAGAAAAGTAGTTTATTATTTGATGTAAATGTTTGCATAAAAATAGTTAAATTACCAAAAAACATACTAGTCTTCTAAAAAAATGTATTTTTTGCAAACTTAAAGACAGCCATAAATGCAAACGAGTTTGAAGACGCATCTCTTAACATACTTTGGAGAGAAGAAGCGCAACCAAACCAGTCGTGGCTCGATGAGAATTGAGGAAAGAAGGAGAAGAAGAAGGACAACGATCACGCAGGTATATATCTAGAGAGAAGAAGAGTCACCTTGCTCTTTGGCCAGGCTTGCGTGCAGCCGCGGAAAGTTCGTGTTCGACTATTTACCTTCGGTAAAAACAGAAGGCGATGAGAGGAGTGAAGAGAGAAGAACAGGACGACGATGAACGGAGAAAGACGAGCAAATGAAATCCGGCGGGGGCTTATCTCTGCCCGTAAGTCCTAACCAAATAGCGGTGGACGAGGTGAACTTTCAGGGACACGCATACGATCATGAAGAGAGAAAAAAACAACTAAATAGTAAAAAAAAAAAAAAAATTAAAGACGTTATGTGATCAGTTGAAGGTGAATATCCATCAGAATTTTTCAAAATTTTAATCCTAGAAAAACTTACTCACGGTTTGGGAATTTTTTTCTTTGAAATTTTCAAATGAAGATTTAATTACTTAAGCTCCTAATCCAGTCAATAGTTGAATTGTTTGTTTAAACATCGGACTTTAATACTCTATGAATGACTTTTTACAAACTTAATGATCATTATGGATTATGGATAATAATAATTATGGATTAAGATTAAGAGAGTGATTACTAGAAAAACTAGCTTTATCTCTTATCAAAAATCTGCCAATCATGTTTCGCTGATGGGTTCTGGAAATGGTAAATTTTCTAATACTTTTAAATCATATGAATAATAACATAAAAAATTTGTTAAATAATTCAGAAGTCTAGGAAGTAGGCTTGAATATTTACAAAAGAGTAAGAGATGAAATGAAGTTAAAGAATATTACGTTCATGATATACAACGTATGAGGAATGAACAAGCATCTGGAGCTTTTTGGAAATTTTACTGAAGAATTTGGATTATGGAAAAGCTTTTTGAGCAAATAACCGAGTGAATTCCACTTGGATCGACATTCAAAGAGTTAGAGAATCGTACAAATGAGAAGTGGTCGTGCCGGCAGTTTGAAAGAACGCGGCGGATTGCCTTTGAAGTCAGCCTGATGGCGTGTATATAGGCATCTCGGTCAAACAGATATCGTGGTACAACTTAGCAAACGCGGATTCCAAGTTATCTCGCAGCACTTGATGTCGAGTAATTTGTAATCTCGCTAAAAGATCTCGCTGATTTACTTTGATAATAACTATAAAGGATAATATTTTCTCATCGATTATTTTTCTATTATAAATATTGGAGTATTTGTTATTCCATTATTTGAGTTGACAAATTGATATGTCAATTGATAAGTCAGTCAATTCGTCACACTTGTCATTAGAAAGTTTCCTGTTTAAGTGGTTTTTAAATTTTTATCGTTTATCAACTAATTACATACCGCAATTAACATGGATTAAGGATGATTTGGTATCAAAAATCTGTCAAATTATTAAATTGTTTCAATATTATTCTGTCTGTTAAGTCTTCAATTGCTTCTGATAACCAATCCGTCTGGAGCCGGGGAAAATTCTAGCCATCAGCTATTTTTTAAAAAAAGAAGACAAGTCACGCGTCCAAGTGTGCTACAGTAGTTGGCAGGTTGGTGTCATTTTTGACACCTGTGAAAGTCATAAAGACTGGTCGTGTCATCATCACACCAACTTATCAACACTCTTCTATCAATGTATATTCATATATGCGTATATACTTTGTACATTTTACATGTATTTTTACGCCAAGTTGTAAAGAAAACACGTGGGCCGCATATCATCAGCAAATAAATATCATAACATGCAGGACGAGTTTAGCTACCGTATCTCAAATGCGTGCATAAACACTTCATTTTGGAATTAACACCTCTAAAATACAAATTCCATGAATATCGTTCTTTCATCACGTACATAATAACATCCATAATATACAACTGTTTTTACATTTTAACTTTTTACCTTTGACACTCTTTGCATTAAATTTTGGAAATTATTACTTTAGATATTTTTTTCCATATTTTCTTAAGATATCTCGTATCTCTAAAGCCACAAACAAAGTCATTACGCATTCATTTCTTTATTGATCCATCAAGATTAAGTGTAGAAAATATTAAAATGAGTAAAGCATAAATTTTATATAAAAATATAATTTTTTTTTAAGGAAAATTTAATCCATTATTTATTGATGTAAATAATCGTAAAAATATTTCATTAATTTCTAAATTTCTTTCTTGAAAAAAATTATTTTTTAATTACATTTCTTTATTGTTACTTCTATTGTAAAGTTTTGATTACACTCGTTTGATTTTTTACTCGTCAACATGGTGTGATAATCATTTAAGTCGTGTGTCTGAACAAATAAGTCTGATTAATCCTCAAAGTGTGAACTACATAACAAAGGGTCAAGCCTTTTCTCATCCTACACCTTTATGCTTTCTAACAGCTTCAATTATCGTCACGTAATTACTCAGATCTGATCCTAACTCAACACCCACTGACCCTTTTGTGCTGACCCTCAGCCTAGACCCTCGCAAATTGACTCTTCAATGCATCAAGCTGATAATCCTGGACTATAATATGTCCAGTGAGCTATAAAAACTCTTTCCAAACGATTCCCAGCCACTTCAGTGGCATTGAAAAATATTTAATAGCTAATAAATACTGTTTTCTCCGATAGATAATGAATCTTTATTTGAAAATGAAAGGTAAAGCTGGTGATACTTACCAGAAAGTGAACCATCATTAGGCTGAAGATGATGATTATTATTCGTCAATGCTGCATTATTATTATTCTCATTTCCCGTGTTGTCGACACCACCTGTACAATATTTTCCACTCTCTAAAATGTCATGATCGTGCCGACAAAAAAGTCCATCGTGTCTTAATGCAAACTGATCACCAGTTTCTAACTTTCTCATACATGCAGAACACCGAAAACAGTCTTTGTGATAAATCTTTGTCTTTGCTCTCATCACTAAGTCATTTTTGTTAAAAGATTGACTACACTTATCGCACTTGGTCCCAAAGAGTCTGAAAAAGAATTTATTAATTATTAATTTGGCAATGAATTTATTTGATAAAAATAAAAATAATTAAGCTAAAATAATCATGTAGACATTTTAAAAGTGGAAATAAGTATTTATAAAAAAATATTTGAGAAACTGTTTAATTTAAATTCAATATTTGAATACTTGAATTTATTTTTCTGTTCACAGGTGAATTTCGTGTTGAAAAGATTGATTATTGGAAACAGAACAATATGTCGATTGGCGTTACTAAATATTGACTCATGAGTTCATCGATAATATAACATGAAAATATGTTCTCATCACGTAAACGTTGCACGAGAGATGATGTAATGATAAGTTATACAAAGTTTAAGAAAGGTAAATTTATTTTTTTTTTTTGTTAGTTTTTAGACTGACTCTATACGTACAAGAACAATAAACTGCTGTCTCGTCACTCGAGGCATTCATTGACATTTTGAGGTACTTTTTATTTCTTTGGCATTTTTTTTTGACTATTTTTTCACCGGATGCAAGCATCAACTTCTCACCGAGCAGTCCCGACGCGTGACGGATCGATCTAAATAAACATACGAGTTACGTCGAGCAGCGAAAAATGTTTGCACGCGAGAAAATAAAGAAGAGAGAGTGAAACATAAGTTAACATAGAATGATTGAGTAAGTCAAATAATTCAAATAGTTTATTTATTTGTATAATAATTACGATATAAATGGATGAAAACATGTCGCCAATTTGTATTGCTTGAGAAATTGCCATTTTTTTATGGTATCTACGTTCATGAATGATGACAACAATTTCTTAGAGCTTATGTGTTCTAGATACCTGGTATAATCACGTTTGCAGTATGTTTTTCCATCTCTGACAAAGCACGTGCATCTTTCATCTAAAAATTGTTGGCACTCAGCACACTTGAGGCATGCAGCGTGCCATTCAAGATCCGGTGCTACCCTGAGAATCCATTGATCTTGTATCCAACCACCGCAGCCAACACATAAGGAGCTTTTTACTTCTGGAACAATGACAATAAATTAATAAATGTAATGATATGATTTATGGATAATTCTAAAGCTTAAAACTTATTTACTAGTTCAAAAAATAAGAAGATAATAAAAATTGGAGCTCCGTTATAATATTGGAGTAAAATAAATATTATTTTAAAAGGTAAATATTTGTAATTAAATAACAGTAAGTTATTTATAATTTATTATGGATACAAAGTAATTGTTGATCTTTAAATAATAATTATATTATTTTATTATTCTAGAATGACTGCAAATTTAAGTCGAAGGATGAACTTGAGGTAAGCAATAGACACATAGATCTATAGAATATTATTAAAATTGTTTATCTATTTGTTTAGCAAATCTTTTTTTATTATTTATTTAATTTAATAAAAGATAAAAGTATCATGTTGCTTTGTTGTAGGTATTGGGTGGGCGGAAAGTGAAAGAGGCGTTACTTTGTTTGCTTCAGGGGAATTTAAACTCCGCCCAGAATCCCAACTCCACTATATCCGATCAGCGCGAGCGCGGAGTAGATTACACCTGCGCATGCACACGCACAGTGTGCAAAATGTGCCGATTTATCTGGAGAAATAAATTTACAAGAATCATGGTAATTGATTGTTTCAATCACTCTTTGTCTCAAATATAAATTATTGTAGGAACATGATTCAATTTTTTAATCTTAAATATACCTTTATATATATATAAATAAACTTCGACATGCTGATTCATGTTGATCAAAGAAAAAGTTGTTAATATCGGCAATTTTATTAGGTTTTTTTTATGATACTTTTTCTGATATAATTGAATACTAATAAGGAGTAATTTTAAACGCCTTGGTGATTATATAAGCAACGATATGTCATGAATAAAAATAAATGACTCTATATAATTAATTAAGACACCAATTTCATTTGAAGTAACTTAAATAGTAACAATAAATAGAACGTATACTTATTAAATACAATTCGTTTTATTTATGAACATAGCAATTTATTATCAGTACTCTGAAATCAATTATATATATTTATATAGAAGAGCTTTAGAAAAATAATTAACCCAAATATGCTAAGTAAGGTATTAAAAGTGTTTGGGACAATTTATAAGGATGATATTGTACATGAGAAGATTATTTGTGTAACATGCACCTGGGGATCTAGCTTAAAATATTTTGATGAAATGACAAAAACTTTTAAGCAATTAATTGCTTACTTTAAATGAATATCTTTCAGGAGAATAATTTAATTCCTTTCTATTCTTTTAATAGTAAAAAAATAATTTTTAAAAATACCAATGTCATTTTTTAATTGAAATTGTTTACTTTAATTAAACGTATACTGATGATACATAAATAAAATATTTTGAAAAATTGCTCCAATTATTATTTAAAGACTTGGATAAAAGTTTTCTGTAATAACTTTTTTCTATTTATCATGAAACAAAAACTTAGATAAAGAAATAAAAATAATTAGAATAAAATTTATAATTAATGCAATTAATTTAAAGTATTTGTGAATATCTCAGAATAATTTGCAAGCAGAATAAATTTTCTTACAGCAAGTATCTGGAGAAATGCATACAAGAATAAGTACATAGAGGAATGAGACGACGAGTATACCACCAGAGTCGAGGAAACAGTGGATTTTTCGGTCGCCAGGTCTTACAAGGCACGTTGCTGGACTTGGTGCGGGAGGAACAAGAAGAGAGATGGACGATTATAGTGTGTGATACACAGGATCAGGCGCGCGTCTCGAAAGTGAGAGAGGGCGAGGTCGGTGAGGATCAAAGGAGTGGATCGGACGGGTGAGTGTTGGCGGCGTCCCATTAGCTTCCACCGACGACCACCACATCTCTCGTCGTGTCTTGTACCAAGAGAGAGACAAAAGAGGTGTGAGAAGAAGAGGGAAAAAGGAAGAAGACCATGTAGGTCTTGCGACATAAAATAGAAATAAAAAACCAAAAAGTGAACGAAAAAAAACTTGGGATAGAATCGATATATGTCGTATTGAGAATGGTAAAGAAACTTGGACTATGTAAATAAAAAGAATCTTCTACATAGTCAGCTGTCACTGACATGTTTCAATAACGTAAGTACCCTCGAGTAGACAGACAGACAATACTTTTTGTTGAAACGATGGAAAAAATTAATCAAAATATTAGAGATGACAATTTACCCCTAATCTATGAAGAAAATTATAAATTCAGGAGAATTTTAATTCTTTCGTTTTATATACAGTCGTTAAAAATAGTCATTTAACTGAAGAAAACTTATTTTTTGTGAATATTAATGATGAATGAAACTTAAATGTTTCTAGTTAAAATGACTGAAACGACTATATTGATTTCAAAGTGGTTACTACATTTTTAATAAGATGACAATTGTTTAATTCTTGTTTAGATTTCTTAAACTCGTTCAGCAAGATGAACCAAAGACTAAATTTCAAAAACTGCAGATGGAAGTGAGAGAAGGAAAGAAAGAAGAAATGAAAATAAGACTAAACGTATAAGGCACATGATGACGGGGTAGTGAACGGCGCCGAGCCGCGTGTCAGGGTTGTCTGGTTGGCAGTTCAGAGACGCCGACCTGGTGTCCCATGCGTTCCTTCGGTATTTCATTAACACCTCTGCTAATTATTTTCATCCTTTTTCCTTGGACACATCCGGACCATGAATTTTGTCTACTATTGAATGTCGATGCTCCATCGAAGAAAACAAAAATAAAACTTGGTTGGTAGTAATCATTACTAAGTAAAAGTATTATAATTATTATTATAAAATGATTTATTTTTTATCATGAATTTGATGAGATGAGGAAAGATTGTTTTTAGCTACAACAAACGAAGGCAGCTACAAATTATAAGGTTGAGATTTTGAGTCTGGATTTTAGATGACAATAAATACAAAGAAATTGTTAATGGAAAAAAGTTCAATTGATTATTCACAAACATAGACTAAAGGCCTTCTATAAAATAACCGGTGTTTCATTAGTCAGAGCTATTAACGCTAATAAAAAATTATTAGCTACACGTATAAAGCTAATAAGCAGATTTAACTTTTTTAGGCTACTACAGCCGGTTTTATTGTTATTTAGTCTTCTTCCTTTATATATATTTCAGATGGTTGGAGTGCTTTATTAGCCGTGAGATTGCGCACCTCCCACTGAGATCAAGATGAGGCCGATTGTATCACCAACACGATCGGCGAGAACCTACTGAAGACTACTGTTTGATCTTTAGATTCACTTGGAAGATAAAAGGGAATTTGTTTGAATATACAAAAGTCGTCGGCCAGTTAGGATTGATTTAAAGAAATAATTTATTATATGATTTGAAGGTAAATTTATGAAATTTAAAAGCAGCTGAGCAGAAAAAATCAAGATCACGCGAGTATATAAGCCGGCTGATCTAAACTTAGAAGTTTGGGACAAACGATCAGAGCCTCATCCCGATGAAGTTGAGGAGAGGCACGTTGTCGTCGTAGCAACCTCTCTTTTCGTCTCTTTCACCCGTCCGTTATCCCAGGTCGAAATTTATGTAGGTGTTGGCCGTGGCTTTTATCAGCGACCGGCATTCCTCTGCGTCCAAGCCGGCGCCCTGGCGTCGCCGAAGATCAGGTTCTAATTCGTGAGTGACTCAGTTAAACTTTCCAACCTGGACCAGCTCTTTGTCTCCATCACATCCGTCGCACTTCAATCCAAATGTTTCCGATTTTGTCGCCGTCGGTTACTTCCTATCTCTCTGTATTGTCTCTACCCTACTCTTTAATTCATATCGTGGCGTCTTTTTGATCTTATACTCTATAAAATATACTCCGCCGTTGATTTATTATAGATTGATGGATATTTAAATTTTAGATCATCATCAAAGAATTAAAGCTAAACTTAATAAATCAACACAGCAATGAAAACTACATAACTTTCATAAATTATCCTTCATGTAATAATATTATTATCCAGTTTTCGACTATTTATTTTTTGTTTTATAAATATTCCAAGTGTTTGAGGTATTTTTATCAACATTGATTTACTTCATTCATAAGTTATAACATAATATTACATCGTTTATTTCTCATAATTATATTACTCTTTTTCTTTTTTTGCTAGTTAAATATTGAAAGCATTTTTATTAGTTACACTGATATTATCGATAATATGAGAAAATTGAGTTATTAATTAATATAGAGTTAGTTTTTCTAGATTAATAAAAAAAATTGATTAATTTTAATAAATAATTGCTTCAGTGAATTTAAATCTAGTTTTATTCAAGGTATTTTTCATAAAGTAATGTATATATAATTGCTGATACTGTTATCTGGCTTTCAGTCATTATTTATTCTATGAATATTGAAAGTGGGAAAATTTTTTTTATCAAAATTAATTTATCATTAATTGACAAAAGAATATGTTAAATTAATAATCTATAAATAAATCGATTAATTAGAATCAATAATTGTTTCTAAAAAATAATTTTGACATATATTAACATCAAGTATTGTTAAAATAATTTATCCTATTCTTTAAAATACTAAATAAACTTGTTAAATAAAATAATTTAATTTGTTTTCAGAATTGTTGGAGGATTTATTGACTAAGGAGAAATTAGTACTTGGACCTTCAATAGTTTAGATGGCACATTGTCTGAAGGAGAAAAAGGTACAGGAGACAACTCCTGTTTGTCTTTCGGGATGGAAATATTTTTTCCATGCACTTTTACGACCGTGTTAGATTTGTTGACGGGGCCATTTGGACATCCAAGACAATTTAAACGTCCTAAAAGATCCTCAGAAAAAAGAAACCAGAAGGTCCCGTAACTGATTGTAAGGTAAACCTTGGTAGAGGTGCTCGGTTTTGACGACTATACGATCTCCATGAACAACTGAACAACTAAGAAACGAAATGACTGGCGCCAGGATTATTTACAGTGCTCCATTGAAGTATAGATAGACTCTGTAGGAGCCTGTATAAAGAAATAGAGGATCGATGGACAAGACACACAAGACAAGACCTCCAGAACATTGGCCTTTCTATTTCCACAATCATTAGGTGTCCTACTAGGTGTCTTATAAATAAAAAACCACGATTTTACTTTGCTCCAAAGAGGATTTACTTTCAACTTTGCGATATTGCTGATTATCTTAGCCCACCATAAACGTCCATAAATCTGCCAGTGGCATCAGGTTTTTGTAAATTATTAGGTAGAATATGGATTCTGTATTAGTCTATTATAGACATTGGAAGCCATCTTATTTTTAACTGATTGCTGCTCTAAAACATGAATATGCGAGTGACTCATTATGTCTCATATCAGGTTTGACTGATGAAGATGCTTTCTAAAAGGCACCATCGACATATTATTGATACACGAATTTTTAAATCAATTTCAACTTGGAAATTATCTCCAATACAAGATATGTTAAGTATATATATATTTTTTTCAATTATCAATGTAAATCCAATTATTGGAGTAAACAATTGTTCAATTACTAACTATGTTATATTTGTTTCAGATTTTATGACTTCCAACTGAATGGAAAACATTTTTTTTTAATTAATCGTAGAACGATATAATGATTAAATGCATACTCCGGAAATCTATACACATAACATTGATGGAAGAAATTTTTTTCTCCACAAACTAAGTGTATTACTGAAATCCAATCGTACTCTAATGTTTTTACGAACGTCGTCGTGGTATAAAAGAAAACTTTTTCGCCAGGATAAGACAAGTCTTACGGTGTAGGGGAAATGATAGAAATAGATATATCGAAAGAAGAAAAAGAGCTGATGCGGATCGAAGCGGAAAGGAAAGGAATCCGTAGGCCTAATTCAATTGCAGACCGCCGCTCCGCAAACACTCATGATAATTCAATCGAGTCTATGCTGCACCCGGACGTCCCGCACGACCGACCCTTCGTCTATATATGCCCCTGAGTGGATCATACCAATGTGTTATTTTCTCTCTTTTCAACCACTCTTATTCTCTTTTTCTCTCTTACATCATCTCACAGACATTTAATCCAACTCACATATTATGATCATGTGTGTTAACAGTGTTGGTATAAGAAGAGGGGGCTGGAAACGGCTCATAATCTACAGATCAGACCATCTGCAGTCTAATCGACTGATGATTTGGAGACACATCACTACCATTGTATCCCCTTGATTCGGAGCTAGGATGTAAATCACTGATGAAAGTGCTAATATTACTTCCAGGAAATTAACTGTTTGACTTGAGAGTATGAAATTAATTAATCATTGTTTTCAATGTTATTAAATATTCATTTTACTCCAATAACCAGAAATAACTTTACGTTGAAGAATAACTAAAATAAAAATTCCAGTTTTTCAATCAGTTAGATTTGATTTGAATACATTATCAGACTGAAATATTTTTTACAACTTCATTCGACAGTTAGATAGAAATAAATAATTTTTTATAACAAATTATATTAATTATTCATTATTCTTCAGTGAGTAATTAAATGCTATAGTGCGTGTAAAAGTTAAATTGATAGACAAGTATTTAAATTTTATTCTAAAGTTTTCTAGAAATTCATTTGTCTGTCTATTACCGAATATCAGTAATTAAAATTACTTATCACTATATGAGATTGAAATTTCAAATTGAAATTAATATTATTTATAAACCTTGATGTATACACGTAATTATTTTTCAAGTTAATTTAGAAATGATGATATTTGGACGATTATCAAAACAACGAAAATAAACGTTAGATAATAATTGAAACTTTTAATTTCCGAGATTAAGTTACAACTGTCTAATACTCCATGTATTGACATCAATCTATTCAGAAAGTATCAACCAAATACTTTGAGGTAATATATGTAACTATTTGGCAAAATATTTCGATGATCAATTTTCATTCAAGTAAAAACAACATAAAAGACTTAGAGTCATTGTTGATCAAGTGTAGTCGAAAATATAAATCTTTCAGCAGTGATTACAAACACATTTTATTTTTATTTCATCCATTCATTAAATTTGTCAGAGAAAGATTTATTAGTAATTGAGTATAAATATTTTATGAGAAGGTAATAAACTCTTCAAGGCAATATGAAAAATTATCTTTTATGGATAAATATGTGAAAAATAAAAGTTTGAATTCCGTTATATTTAATCTTATTAATTATTTATATTGAATAAATGATTTATTTTTTTTTGTTAATTATTCATATTCGATTTGTTTATTTGTTGACAGTGATGGTATACTTACTTTGAGATAGCGGATCTCCCGGCTCATCTTGGATTTTAACTGGAGAAATCTTGAGACTTCGAGGTGGGCCCTGGAGTCCTAAATGCCCGGGCCCTCCGATAGGACCCGTCCGCTGCATTACGCTAGAGCCCCCTATTTTTGCGACTGCCGACGTACACGTCGGCGCCGTCTTAATAGCTTCAACCCTTTTCCAAAGATCTTGGTAAGGATAACACACACTTATTGATGGTGATTCACTCAGTTTTCAATATCTTTCAATTTTCTTGTAACTTTAATATTTATTTTTGCACAATAATTCATTCTGTGATTTTAAATTAAAAAATATAACTCTTAAGTAATTGAATTAAATTAATTACTTTTTATAATTTAGTAAATATCAATCAGTTTCAAGTTTGATGTCATTGTGGATAAAAATATAATATTGGATTAGATTATTGCGCTTCGTTTATTGATGATAAGGATAACGATAGCGGGATTTTCCTTTGTAATTATATTTTTTAAATCAATTTAGTTATCGAAAAAACATTGAAATGTTTTGATAAAATATAAATATAATATGTTAATAATGAATTAAATCATAATAAGATTAACACAATTTTTGTTTCATCTGTTTATGAAATTTTTATTTTTTTTTTCTTCTCAGTTGTCACCTTGACATCATCATGGTAATCCATCAAAAAATTGTAAGACAATTCTCTTCTCACCTCCACTGGAATCTCATCACTTCTTTCACCATTTCATCACACTTGATGACTCACTGAATTAAAAAGTCTCTACTCTCTCTCTCTCTTTCTACTACAGGTAAATATTGTCTCCAAGATGTGAGATTTTTATTTATAAAATTTTTAATCATTAATTGTCAAACTTGATATTAATCTATCTTTGAATATATTAATTTTTTAGCTTCAGAATGATGTGGAGAATTTTTATGACATTCTCACTTGTGGTTTTGAATGAAGAAAAATTTAATAATGATTTATATCAAAAAGAAACGGTTGAAAGGATATAAAATGTGTAGAGAGAAAAGGAGAAAACGAGTGTTAATGACAACCCCGACGATGTTGACGGCGCGGGGCCTGATGAGGCACTGACTAGACCCTTGGATTCTTCACAATTCAGCTGTCGCGCAGCAAAACTCCCCACTTCTAGATCAGTGTTGTGAGTTCTACCCTCCACAGTTTAGCCCCTCTCTACTGATAGCTTGTATTCCTTCTCTCTTACTCTCTCTCGCTTGCACTTGGAGTTCTTGCCGACGACGTTGCTTCCACGCCTACGTGTATTCCCATTGGATCTGCTGGGAGATACGCCAACAAAATGGCCGACACCCTAATCGATTCCACCACCAACACCTTCACCTCCTACTACTTTTGGCTTTTACCTTCAAACATTTCTACTGCTCCAACTTATTCTCCTCTTGCTACCCTCCCGCTATTTTCTTATTGTGTTTAATTTTTTTGCGATCTCTTCAAGATCACAAGTTTTGCCACCACTTTCTTTACCATTTGCACCTTTATATCATAAAGGTTCTCATGAAGGATTCATTTATAGAGCAAGAGATGGAGATGAAAATTGCTCCAAAAATGTTTGATCTACTTCCAAGGACATGACAAACATCCTGAATAAAAAGCAGACCAGAATAAGACGCTGTAGAAATCACGTACGGTTCACTTGAACGGTTGAATCCTAATCCTGCATGGGTTACAAACTACGAAAGAACACCTCGCCAAAAGCTATAGTATCTAATTCTAAGTTTCAAGAGCTAGGAAGATAATAGTCGACTGCTCTTTTCAAAAGTTCCTCATCTTCACGCCTCGACTCTTCATTTCAGAAAAATCTTTTTCACAGTTCTGATCCTCTAGGATCATGTATTGACACTTTCTATTGATCTCAACGGAGGCAGATATGCACTTTTAGATCGTTGCTCAGACGTACTCATGCATGTTGAAGAAGAAAAAATAAGAGATAGAAGTGGCAAGAAATACTGATACATATACATGTATATCATGCAGACCGGAGAAGACCTCTTATGTAAAAGAGCGCACGGGCGGAAAAAATACCGACAAAGCTATCAGCAACTGTACAACATGGATTTCCAGATGTTCTTTGGATGCATCAAGTACCGGATTCTAATACTTGAGTGCCTGCAGGATCTTTTTCATACATTTAAATCACTTTTTAAAGCTTTATTAAATTTTTGGAAACTTACCTTTGATATTATAAACTACAAGTAATCATTTTCTGGTGATGAAAAGATCTACTTGTTGATTATTTTTAAGATTAACATCAAGATCGATTTTTTACAGATAATAAATCAATATTTATGGTGAAAATTGCATAAGTACTACGTCATAAAATTCTTCGGGGACACTTGAAACTTACAGATAAATATCTCAAAACTTTCTTGAAGGTTTAACGATATCTAAAAACTATTTATACATTTTTATCTGCTGTTTTTCTAAATATCCATTCTACAAAAGTAATATAACGTAATTTTTTGCTCATACAGTTATTTGATTTTTTATTATAATTCACAAAAAAGTTTTCAAAACATTTATTTTCAATTTTTTTCAAACCTTGAAGTATTCTAAAGTAAACAAAAAATATTGTTTTTCAGGATAAGAAGATGATTTAATTCAAGCATCATTTTATCATACTTATTGATGTTGTGAAGACCTAATTTTTGACTTATCAAAACATTTTGAATATTATGAATACGCTTTAAATGTATTCATGCTGAGAATAATTTACAAGTTTACCTGAAGGCGACATTTCTCTTCCTGAAGGACCATCTCTAAGGTAGCAGTTCTATTTTCACGTACAAGAGACAAAAATATGGTCTTTTACCCTCATTAGTTGAACTTATCAGTGTAATTTTCCAAATGTTCCAGATTCTTAAAATTTTTTTACCTTGACTATTCTTATCGCGACTCGGAAAATACGTTGGATAGATTTTTATCTACATTCTTAGGCGTTGAGTCTTGGAAATCGTGAATCCAGAAGCTTCAGTTGAAGAAAATAGTAAGGATTAGGACTCGCAGGTGCATGGATTATCCTTCGACCTATATTTTGTGCTTGAAAAGCTGCAGAAGATGATGTGAATCTCAACATGATCTATCTTCACGTAATTCTTTCATTTTCGTACTTATGACAATTGATCCGTGAATGTGTAAGCCAACAATTATTCAAAAGATTATTTAAAAGCTTAGACCGAATAACGATTTTAATCCTTCTGACTTAAAAACTTTAAAGAAAAAAATACTCTTAAAGTTGTTCAATGTTAAATTACTTGTGTCTAGTGTCTATGAAATATTAAAGAGACGGCTAGTAAGGTTCGGCAGATAAGAAAAAAAATTAGAAACTTTAAGGAGGATTAAAAGAAGGTTCGGGCCACCCATCAAAATCCGGCGTTTGAAGACTTCAAATCGATCTTCCTTGTTGTCAAGTTGAACTTACATACAGAAGCCTCTAGGCGCCTTATATTGTCTTTCAGCAGATTAAGTATCAACCAATCTTCTTTTTTCTTCATCTTCTCTTTTTAATTCTAAAATTGTATCTTAAACAAATAATATAAAAATTTTATACTTTTTTTAACCATTATATTTTCAGGTATTACAAGGAAAAAAAAAGTAAATACCTCAAGTCAACGGTTTTCATGTAAATGCTAAAAACTTTGAATACATAAAATGCAGAGGGTCTAAAAATCTCAGAGGAATGTTCTTGACTACGCACAGTGGTTTACGTAATTACATCGAATAAGTTCTTACGCAAGTGTGTTATGTCAATTGTACTTAGACTTACATCAGTACTCTCAAGAAGGTCTCGTTGCTTTTAAGAAGTCTCTCGTCTTTAAGTACATTATACGCAACGGAACGAACATTTGTAAAAGTCACGTGGATAACAGTAACCTTCGTGGTTTTGTGCCATATTTCTATGATCTTCATATCAACTTCTCCGCCTTAAAGAGAAAATAGAAGGGAGCGTCGACGGCTATACGGCAGTAGAGGCAGGACCTCAGGCGTAACAGAGGAATCGTGTCTTGAATCAAAACGAGAATCGACATTATGAGAGTATGTGCACCTCTACAGGCTCATATAAAACCTGAAGACGTGTGCGTGCAGTCCGCCATGACGTTGTATATCGCGACGGCGCAGTCTGCACTCCGTTGTGCCGTTATCTCGGCACCATCTAGCTGAGCTAAAAGCTTCTCCCCATCAACCCGCTTGCTCTTTCTCTCTGTTCAACCCCTCCTGTATTCTCTTCATCTTGTCCATTGCCATATAAAAACCATTGGACACCTCTTTCTTTTTCTTTAATACATTCTGTCTTTATTCATTCAGCCTCCAACCACCTTCTCTTCTTTTTCACCTTTTTATAAATGCTCATCTTTACCTTTTCTATTTTAATGTATTCCAATTGTTGTCTTGGACCAGACTTTCTGTGACATCAAAACTGGTTAACAACATGTTAACTTGTTACATTCTAATGTCTTTATTCAACTCAAAAAGTAAATATTATTGAGCTCTTGGATGATTTATTTTGCATTGATAATAAGGAAAAATGATTCAAAAATAGCATTGAAGCTTTCATCATTTATCTTCTAATTAGTATTATTCGAATAAATAAAAAACTATCTTTAGCAAAAATAAGGAAAAATGTTGTGAATATTGAAAAGTAATTATAGAGATGTTAATAATTTTACAACGATATTTCATCTCTAATTGGAATGGCAATTTATTGAATAATCAATTACAAAATTACTTTGCTACGATTAGTAAATTTTATTTCAATTGAATGTAAAGTTTTTTTTATTTATAATTAAATGAAATTAAATTCAATAATTTGATTTTGTGAATAAAATTTTTCTCAATTTTTTAAATATTTTGTTAAACAAAATCAAATTAATAAAATACTTAGGTTTTAATATGAAAAAGCACTATCATCTATTGTTATAGAGCGTGTTATACATCAATTAAAACTAATTTAAAACGTAATCAAATAATTATTTAGTTTGTTAGAGTTAATTTAATAAAATGATAGCAATTTCAAGATGATAACCAACTAGGTTGTCTCGTTATTTATAATTTGATTCAAATGTTGTAAACTAAAAGCCTATATTTTTCTTCAATAGAATGTATGTAAATTTATTTATATATTGTATCATTGTAGATCATGGATTCATTTCAATGTTGCATGTGGAAGGTGTGAGCCGCCTGGGAAGGCCTTAGGATCAATACAACTCATCCGCGCAAGTCTCCAAGCCTACTCCTATCTACTTAAATGGCCATTTAGATTTGAAAATGTATATCTACGTATATATACATATCGGAAATGGAAAAAAAGAAATCCTAGCTGTAATTATAATGAAATCAAATAATTAAATATGATAGCAGCAAAATATCATCCAACAAAACAAAATTTACTTTGTGAAATATTCACATCTTTAGAATTTGAATAATGAAGAGCATATAAAAAAACTTATAAGATATGAAAGCTTTTATGTTCATATTTAATGATAAAGAATATCATATTTTAATGAAATTAAATCTATGTATTTCGAATTATCGAAGGATTAATTCCTGATTTTATGGTATGTAGATGTACTCTAGATCGTTTGGAGTTTTTTTTTTAATTCACTAGTAAAATAATATAGATTAAGAAATAAGAAGTGAACGAAAACGCGGCAAAAAGTCTTTGATCTAAGCTCTAGCTCTGATCAAGAAACCGACATGAGCACCTGCATTCAGCGTCTTCAGGGTGGCTAGACATGTCTTGACAGAATTCCGAATTCAACGTGTCTATTTAACTGAACACCTTGAAAGATCACGCCTTCTTGTGTGACTGAAAGAATGAAGATCTAAAGATATAGAAAAATTTCTTGTAAGTTGGTGTTACAGTTGGTTTTTTTTTTATGAGATTAAGAACCAAAAACTATGTAGAATAATGCCTAATAGAAATTCTTTCTCTATTGATATAATACACAACAATAAAATATTTGAAATATTCTTTTTAATTAACATATTATTAATAGAATGTTTCAATTACATGTCATATGCAAATTCACTAGCATGCAGCTA